CTGCTGGAACTGTACTAGTGTGAAACCAGGAGATTCTTTTTATTCTAAATTGGAGAGTTAGATATATAGAGAAGAGGAAAGATGGGGAGGAAGATCTTGCATCTGTTGATTCACTCCTCAAGCAGCTGCATTGGCAGGAGCTGCGCCAATCTGAGGCCAGGAGCCAAGAGCCTCTTCTGGGTCTCCCTCTGGTGCAGCATCCCAAGACTGGGCTGTCCTCCACTGCTCTTCCAGGCTACAATCATGGAGCTAGATGGGAAATGGGGCTGCCGGGACATGAACTGACGCCCATATAGGATTCCAGCATGTGCAGGGTGGACTTTAGCTGCTAAGCTTCTGTGCTGGGCTCCGATTTTTTTTTTTTTTAAATGAGAAAGGCAGATACACAGAGATAAGGAGATAGAGAAAGATCCTACATCTACTGGTTCCCCCTTCAAGTGGCCACAATGGCTGGAGCTGATCTGATCCAAAGCCAGGGGCCAGGAGATGGGAGCTTCTTCCAGGTCTCCCATGTGGGCACAGGGTCTGAAGGCTTTTGGCTGCCTTTGACTGCTTTCCCAGGCCACAAGCTGGGAGCTGAAAGGAAGAGGAGCAGCTGCTACATGAACCGGTGCCTATAGGAGATCCTGGCACATTCAAGGCAAGAATTTAGCCACTAGGCTATTGCACTGGGCCTTCCAGGAGATTGTGTCTGGTGTTCCATATGGGTAGCAGGAAACTTAGCACTTGAGTCATCCTCCACTGATTTCCCAGACATATTATCAGAGTCTGGATCAGAAATAGAGTGGTTGGGACTTGTACTGGCACCCATTTGTGATGCTTGTGTCCCAGGCAGTGGTGGCTTTATGTGCTATGTCATGGTGCTATGCCCCCTCTCCCCTTTTTAAATGTTGTTGCTCCTCTTCTGACCCAGCTCCTGGCTAATGGCTTGGGAAAGCAGCAAAACATGGCTCACTGCTGAGGTCCCTGCTACCCAGATGTGAGACCCAGCTCCTGGCTCCTGGCTTCAGATTAGCTCAGCTCTGGCCATTGCAGTGAATCATCGGACGGAAGATCTTCCCCTCTGTCTCTCCTCCTCTCTATATATCTGACTTTGCAATAAGTAAGTCTTTAAAAACAAAAAATGCAATACAGTAAAATAAAGTGGTCTTTATCTGAATAAAGGGTAGATGATACAGAATAGGCACTCTTTGAGTATTTTCCCACGTCCAGGACTGAAAGCAAAAGAAATTTAGGAAACTCAAGTTAGGAGTATTCTAGCACAACCACAGCAAGAGCAGCAGGGTGTAAAAAGCCTGAGGAAAAATCCTTGGCTTTCCTCTCAGACTTATGCAACTAGCCAAGTAGATTAAATTCCTAGGTGCTTTGGTAAAAGAACACAAATATTTAATGTGCTAGATTAAATCAGAGAAAAGTAGATTTAATGGCATCTTTGTGTCAAGTGATGTTTGTTTATCATTTGTCCCACCTGTTCTCTTTATCCCAAATTCTGAATGGCTTTTTTTTAAGGCCCCCCCTTCAACAAAAAAAGTTTTATTTTGTTTGAAAGGCAGATTTGCAGAGCAAGGAGAGATAGAGAGGTATCTCATGTGCCGGTTTACTCCCCAGATGCTGCAATGGCTGGAGCTGACCCTAACCAAAGCTAAGAGCCAGGAGTTTCTTTCCATGTGGGTGCAGGGGACCAAGGCCTTGAGCCATCCCCTGTTGCTTTCCCAGCACATTAGCAGAGAGCTGGACGGGAAATAGAGCAGCCAGGACTCAAACTGTTGCCTATATGGGAGGCTGATGCCTCAGGCGGAAGTTTAGCTTACTACACTATGGCACCAGCCCCTTATCTTTTCTTGATTCCACAAGAAACACTTCTGAATATGATAATATCAGGCTGTATAGCTAACTTTAGATAACATGCCATCGCCATCGGATGCCTCCTACGAGGTGTGTGCAGGCCAACACTAGCCTGAGGAGTATTATTCCATGTCTGTATTTGTCCTTCCTTGTACATGTGCCATGTGATTTACTTACACATACTATAATCCTGCACTCAACACCATCAGGAATCCAGAGAGGAGAAATCTGGGGCAGTTGCTTCCTGATGTCAACATGCCAGAGGCGTCCGAGTTTTACAGATGCTTGATTCTTCTCTTGTGTGTCATCTACACAAGGGAGGTGGGGGAAGTGTTAAGCAGAACTGAAGTCACTGAAAGGGTGTGTCCTTCAAAACACCCTCACAGCTGTGTCAGGAGTGATTGCTCACCTGCCAGCAACATCTGCTTTTCTTTTTTTTTTAAAGATTTATTTATTTTTATTGGAAAGTCAGATATACAAAGAGGAGGAGAGACAGAGAGGAAGATTTTCTTTCTGATGATTGACTCCCCAAGTGACCGCAATGGCCGATGCTATGCCGATCTGAAGCCAGGATCCAGGAACTTCTTCCAGGTCTCCCACATGGGTGCAGGGTCCCAATACTTTGGGCTGTCCTCAACTGCTTTCCCAGGCCACAAGCAGGAAGCTGAATGGGAAGCGGAGCTGCCGGGATTAAAACCGGCACATATATGGCATCATGGTGCGTTCAAGGCGAGGACTTTAGCCGCTAAGCCGTGCCGCTGGGCCCAACATCTGCTTTTCTTGATGTTTAGAAGAAGGAATGCCTGCAATCTCAGATATTGACAGAGGTTAATTGGGCATTCAAGCCTCTCTTTGAACACACAAGATGTTTGGCTTGATTTTACCAGGAAGAGAGCACATACCTTCATTGGCAGGAGTCACCCCTAAGAATGGAATCACAAAATTACACAACTTGAGAGGTCTGGGCTTCTTTACCTTGACGCTATTACCCTACCTGCAATACCCTGTGTGCAAAAACTTGATGAGGAGTGTCATTACCAGGGTGCTGAGGGGTTAGTGCTTATCATTCTTATTTTTATTTATCTTATCTTATTTTATTTTTTTTAAAGATTTATTTTTATTATTATTATTTTTTTTTATTGGAAAGGCGGATATACAGAGAGGAGAGACAGAGAGGAAGATCTTCCGTCCGATGATTCACTCCCCAAGTGAGCGCAACGGATACTAAGCCGATCCGAAGCCAGGAGCCTCTTCCTGGTCTCCCATGTGGGTGCAGGGTCCCAAAGCTTTGGGCTGTCCTCGACTGCTTTCCCAGGCCACAGGCAGGGAGCTGGAAGGGAAGCGGGGCTGCCGGGATAGAACCGGCGCCCATATGGGATCCCAGGAGTGCAAGGTGAGGACCTTAACCACTGCACCACTGCTCCGGGCCCCCCCCCCCCAAAAAAAAATCTTTAAAAAAAATAAAATAGGGCCCGGCACAGTGGCGCAAGTGGTTAAAGGATAACCACTCCCCAGGCGGCTGCAATGGCTGGAGCTGAGCCAATCCGAAGCCAGGAGCCTCTTCTGGGTCTCCCACGTGGGTGCAGGGTCCCAAAGCTTTGGGCTGTCTTTGCTTTCCCAGGCCACACGCAGGGAGCTGGATGGGAAGTGGAGCTGCTGGGATTAGAACCAGCGCCCATATGGGATCCCCGGGCGTGCAAGGCGAGGACTTAACCATTGTGCCATCGCCCCGGGCCCTAAAATTTTCTTACACCATTTTCTCTGTTGGGCATTGAAAAGTTCCATGCCAGAGGGACAGATAACTTTAGAGCACACGGCCTGGGCAGGGCAGGCTTTGGAGAGGCATCTCACTTGGGGTTCTTGGAGTGATAGTGAAGCCTGACTCCTTTGGCGGCTAGGCTGGGTTGTACAGAAAGAAAAAGGCATGTAGATACCTGGAAATCATGATTTGCAGAAGATAACATTTTGCTTTTTGTAGTTTAACTATGAAAGACTAATGAGGAATAGTGGCATGGACAAAAATATGATAAATCTAAAGTTTCCTAAACAGTAAGATACACAGTTTTGTTTTTGCAAATATCTGATGATGACTGAACAGTTTGTACACTCAAGAATGGGTCTTCCTCATATCGTGATTGTATATTTTAGCACATGATCTTTTTGCCTGAACTACATATAGGGAATTTGGATTTTTTTTTCTCTGAGTGTTAATATTTGTAGTTAAGATACATTTCATTAATCTTAAAACTCAGCCAGCTATAACAGTAATATTATAAATAGTTCTAACTGTGGTACCTTCCTATACTAGGAACATGTATCTTACTTAAGATGATTCTACTAAAATTGAGATTAACAGGTTGTTCAAGATCATACACGTGCAGTGGCAGTTTTGAGTCTTGTTCTGGTGGATATGTGGTGTTTTTGTTACCTGTACCTTTGTTTCTTTTCTTATTTTATTTTTATTTAAAAGGTGAAATGTTACAGAGAGAAGGAGAGAAATGAGAGAGATATCTTTTATCTACTGGTTCACTCCCCAGATGACCACAGTGGCCAGGGCTGAGCTAATCTGAAGTCAGGAGCCAGGAACTTCTTTCGGGTCTACTGCATAGGTACAAGGGCCCAGCCTTGGGCCATCCTTCACTGCCTTTCAGGCCCTAAGCAGGGAGCTGAATAGGAAGTGGAATAATTTGGTCTCAAATTATTGCCCATATGAGATGCCTGCTCCATAGGCAAATGCTTAACCTCTTATGCCACAGCGCTTGCTCATGATGTAGCTTTGTTTCTAAGAGTCACTTAAATTGAGAGTACGGCCTCTTTTTCTTAATTGTTTATTAAACGGACATCTTTGGGATGCTTACTGTCAGGTCCTATTAGATAATAAAAATACAAAGATGAGGGGCTGGCATGGTGGTGACATCCCGTGTATATGCCAGTTTGTGTCCTTGCTGCTCTGCTTCTGATCCAACGCCCTGCTAATGGCTCAGGTGTTCCTCTTTGGTACTAACCAGCATTAAATATCCAGTTTGCTTTGTTCAGCTATCTGGATGGATGGATGACTTGATTAAGATAGGTTTTACCTTGTTTCCGAAAGCACTTAAATTTCATAAACCTGCTCTCTTTGTTTTGTTCAAGCATCTGTTTGCTTATTCTTACAGAATATCCTCATTTCCATTCCTACTCCTGAGAAAGTTTTGAGTCATCATGGATAATCTGACGTCTGAAGAAATTCAGCTGAAGGCTCACCAGGTTACTGATGAGGTAAATGTTTCCTTGAGACTAATCCTGTTGCAGTTTTCACAGTGACAGATCTCCCTTGTTTGTTTGTGTGAAAGAATACATTTGCCTCTCAGTGCCATTATGCTGTTCATCAATTTAGCAGAAAGATTAAGTAAGTGAAAACAATTTGGGTTTTTTTCAGATAATGATTGCTGGGTTCTTATTTATTCTTGCTTTCTGTATAGCACAAATATTTCTATCTTTAGTACATTGTTATGAACACCTTTAAATCTATCCAAATTTTTTTATGTTAGGAGTCTTTTATTTTTTAATTTTTAAAATTTATTTAATGTGTATTGGAAAGTCAGATATACAGAGGGGAGGAGAGACAGAGAGGAAGATCATCTGTCCTTTGACCACTCCCAGTGGCTGCAGTGGCTGAATCTGTGCCAATCTGAAGCCAGGAGCCAGCTTCTTCCTGGTCTCCCACGTGGGTGCAGAGTTCTAAGGCTTTGGGCCTCCTCAGTGCTTTCCCAGGCCACAAGCAAGGAGCTGGATAGGTAGTGGAGCTGCTGGGATTAGAAACGGCGCCCATATGGGATCCTGGTACAAGGTGAGGGCTTTAACCACTAGGTTACCATGCTGGGCCCAGGAGGAGTCTTTATTGCCCAAGCTTGGTGACAGCAGATCCTGCTACACTGCAGCAGCCTGTGCCCAAATTTTCTCTTTTTTTTTTTTAAACGATTTTTAAAACTTTTATTTGACAGCCACATATATAAAGGGAGGAGAGACAAAGAAGAAGATCTTACGTCTGATGGTTCACTCCTCAAGTGACCACAGGGGTTGATGCTAAGCCGATATGAAGCCAGGAACTTCTTTGGTGTCTCCCAAGTGGGTGCAGTGTCCCAACCTATAGGCCATCCTTGACTGCTTTCCCAGGCCACAAGCAGGGAGCTGGATGGGAAGTGGAGCCGCTGGGATTTGAACTGGTGCCCATATGGGATCCCAGCGCGTTCATGGTGAGGACTTTAGCCACTATGCTATCTCGCTGGGCCCCAAATTTTGCTTTTAAAGGTTTTAATAAGCAGAAAAAGCTAAAAAGATAGTGATCAACTTTTCTTTTTTTTTTTTTTAAAGGGAGGGAGGAATATAGGCTTGTAAATTAGAAACAGTAGGGCCCAGCGAGGGAGTGTAACGGTTACGGTCCTCGCCTTGAACTCACTGGGATCCCATATGGGCACCGGTTCTAAACCCGGCAGCTCCAGTTCCTATCCAGCTCCCTGCCTGTGCCCTGGAAAAGCAGTCAAGGACGGCCCAGAGCATTGGGACCCTGCATCTGTGTTGGAGACCTGGAAGGGAGTTCCTGGCTCCTGGCTTCGGATCGGCAAAGCACCGGCCATTGTGGTCACTTGCGGAGTGAATCATTGGACAGAAGATCTTCCTCTCTATCTCTCCTCTTCTCTGTATATCTGACTTTGTAATAAAAATAAATAATAAAATCTTAAAAAAAGAAAAAAAGAAAGGCAAATGTACAGAGAGGAGGAGAGACAGAGAGGAAGATCTTCTGTCCGATGTTTCACTCCCCAAGTGAGTGCAATGGCCAGTGCTTTGCGCCGATCTGAAGCTGGGAACCAGGAATCTCTTCCGGATCTCCCACGCTGGTGCAGGGTCCCAAAGCCTTGGGCCGTCCTGCTTTCCCAGGCCACAAGCAGGGAGCTGGATGGGAAGTGGGGCCGCCAGGATTAGAACTGGCGCCCATATGGGATCCCCGAGCGCGTTCAAGGTGAGGACTTTAGCCGCTAGGCCATGCCGCCAGGCCCACATCTGCCCCTGCAATAAAAATAAATAAAAATCTTTTTAAAAAGTTAGAAATAGTAGCATTATGAATATGACTTTATGCTACACATTTTGGAATATTTAAATAAAGCTGTATGTATATATATACACAGCTTTATATTTATATATATTTGTTTTTTCTAGTCTCTGGAAAGTACAAGAAGAATCCTGGGTCTAGCCATTGAGGTAAGAAAGCATTTTAGTCCTTAAGTTAAATATAGAAGCTTGTAGAAAGGTTACTGCTGGCACCATCTGGCAGCGCTGCTGAAGCACAGTTTAGTAATATACTTTCTTGTTTGAAACCTGCAGTTACTGAAACCATCAAACCACACGCTAGCTAGCCTCTTCTGTTTTTCCCTTTTTGAATGTATTGGAATGTGACAGAGAATATGAATTCATTGTGAATTTTTGACTTATTTATTTTGGGGGTTAATATGTTGGAGTGTGTGTTGATTTAAGAATGCTAGTTCTGGAACTTTAGCTGTAGCCTTTGATCACCGGCACACTGAGCCTTGCTATGCATCTGTGGATGGAGTTTCTCAGGGAGCTGTTTGATGCTCTTGTCCTTTTAGCTAAAATCTCATCTCAACCGCACTCCCTTTGACTTTAACCCCTAGAAATACTGTCTCTGTAATTCCAGTCTTCTGAGGATGAGTTGCTAATTGATTCTAGCCTTGCCTTTGTTAGTCCTTGTAGGATTTATTTTTAATGGCTTTAGGTTTGTTTTGTTGTACTATTGGTCTTTTCCTCCTTCTTTTAGTCTCAGGATGCAGGAATCAAGACCATCACAATGCTGGATGAACAAGGAGGTGAGTTGAAATCATTGGCAGAAATTCTTCAGTTGACTCCCAGTGCCCAAAAGCCCTATCACATCAGCCATGTATAAATTGCAGCCTTTGGGAGTGCCTCTCCTTGGTAAGATGAAGATGTGGTTACTTCTGATTTGAATGACATCATGTTGATTGCCTGGTTAGGATGGGAGTACACAACTACATACCACTTTTATATCAGGCCAGCATGTGGCTTACCGTGTGCATTGGGCTTCTGTATATTCTTTCTTCACTCTAGAAATCAAAGGTTAGTCCTAAAACAGATTTAGATTCAGGTGAACTTGGAAACATTTGATTTAAGTTGGCCTTGAGAAACCTAGTTTGTTTTTATTAGTCTTGTGATTACCCTCAGATTTTGAACCTATAATGTGACAGAAATGCTGGCGATCTGGTCTGGTCAAAGTACACTTGCTTGCAAGGGGCAGCCCTAAATCTTCATATATACTTGTTCAGATGTCTTTAGAACAGATCTTTACACAAGTAGAAGCTATTGTCAACATGGGTAAAAGACTTATGTTGCAGTTTGTAATACCTTCTCATACTGATTTATTCCCTGTGGTATATTCTGGGTAGATTTTGAAGTTTGTTATTCCACAATCACATTTCCTTGTTAATACTGTGAATATAACAGAAAATGTACCCTCAACGCTTTATTCTTAGAGCAATTAAACCGCATAGAAGAAGGCATGGACCAAATAAATAAAGACATGAGGGAGGCAGAGAAGACTTTAACAGAACTCAACAAATGCTGTGGCCTTTGTGTCTGCCCATGTAATAGGTGAGTGGATGAATTAAGACTTTTAAAATCAATCAGTTAGAGCATCTTCTCCCAGATAAGGATCCAAATGCTACAGGAGGAACTTTGCTAGACAAACTTAAAATATTTCTTATTTTGGCAGATTGAGCTTTTCATGTAAAGATAGGTCTTGTCCCCGAAAACTATGGCTTAAATTTCCCCAAACCTGTTAACAAGTCCCAGTTTTAATTTGTGTATAATATAGAGCAATTTTGGAAAACACACATGTGGATAATGCAGAGCAGATTAGGATTAGTGCCTTTTCCTTAAACAAGGAATGTTAATAAAATATGAATATGTATTCTGTGATAGGCTCAAGGAGTGAAGGATGGGGGTCCTGCTGTTGAGACTAGGAGGAAAAAAAACCAAAAAATGTGGACGTCTAGTGTTATATCCTATCATATCAATGAAAAATAGGGGAACAGAACTAATAAAACTTCGTCTGGAGAACGTCGTATAGAAGAGGTGGAACATGAATTGGCCTTTCAGTGAATAGAAGGAATTAGGATGAATCTGAAGAACGGGAAAAGCATTGACTGTGTAAGGTTCAAAATAAACAAAGATTAAGAAAGTTGTATGATTCATGGACATGAGAAGCAAAAAATACGATATGTTTAAGAAGTAAAAAAGGAACTTGAACTCCAAACTATGGAAGGAGTGGAGAGATTGGAATGGAATATATGATTATATCTGAGAAACTAGCTAAAAACTTGCTATGTATTAAGGCAGTGAGGTTTGATTCTATCATTTAGGATAGAAATGAGTGTAAATCAAGAAAATTTATTTTAAATGATTGTAAGTGAAACAAAAGGCAGACTAAAGACTGGGAAGTCTGTTAAATAGGCTAATGAAAAGTCTTCAAGCCACTCATGTATGATGTTTGAGATTCTGTTTGCTTGACTCAGAATTTGTTCTTTTTGGTAACTCCATTGTGAGTATTTACGTTTTTTTTAAAGATTTATTTAATTTTATTGGGAAGTCAGATATACAGAGAGGAGGAGAAACAGACAGGAAGATCTTCCGTCCGATGGTTCACTCCCAAGCAGCCACAACGGCTGGAGCTGAGCCAATCCTAAGCCAGGAGCCTGAAGCTTCTTCCAGGTCTCCCACGTGGGTGCAGAGTCCTAAGGCTTTGGGCTGTTCTCAATGGCTTTCCCAGGCCACAAGCAAGGAGCTGGATGGGAAGTGGAGCTGCTGGGATTAGAACCAGCGCCTGTTAGATGATGGCCACCGACCGCCTGCCCGCTTGGTGAAATAATATCGGCAAGTTGTTCAGAGTTGAGATGGAAGCTTTATTGGAAAATCCGCTCCTGGGCCCCCTTCGCGCAGAGGGGAAGGAAGAGGGAAGCGAAAAGGCGTCTGAGATACGTGTGGAGGAGTTTTATACCCATCTAGACACATGGGAAGGCAAAGGGGCTGTCTGTGCCCCAACTATGCAAGGAATGTCCATTCAGGTGTGCCATTGGTCACCTGGAATCCCGCCAGGTAGGTGAAGTAGCTGGCTCCTGTGGCCCCTCCTCCTGTTCCAGGCTGGAGCCTAGGAGATGTGGGGGCGGGGCAGACCAGACCCTAGTCTCCAGTGCCCTGGGCAGCCATCAGCGCCCATATGGGATACTGGTGCGTTCAAGGTGAGGACTTCAACCACTACGTTATAGTGCCAGCCCGAGTATTTAGGTTTTCTACTTATCCTTGGTAAAGCAAAATGTGATGTTGACAAACATTGCATCTATTGTGACGGTTAACCATGGTCTTTCCTTCTGATAGAAGGGTTCATCCTTTTTTTTGTAAGAAGTGATTAGCAAAATTACTTTAAACTTACTTTTAGCTGAAATGACGTTGTCTAAGGATTGAATGACTATACTTACTGCTCAACGTTTTCATTTTTAAAGCACTTCATAAATATTTGTACTTCCATTCAGTTGTCTCAGCTGGTCTGACAGACAAAGAGTGACATACAAAGATTTATAGATTTCTTAGCATTTTAGCTCTTCGAAGGAATTAGGAATGGAGGTGTTTTTGTTATATTGTCATATTCTCATGTGACAGCATTTTTGCAATGTTTTGCCAGAGAAAATAGAGTTAAGTTGCTTCAACTTTAGTGTGTATTTTGGCCAAGAATTTGGACATGACGGTATTCTGCCAGTCTTTTCAGATTGCTTCCTGTTCTAACATAACACTATAGACCTGTTTTGACCTTGGTTGACTCTCTGAAGGCCCACATTTTAGTAACTGACTTCTCCCTTGAGATTTAGCAGATTACTTTAGGGAAATTAATGTGTAAATGCACAAATTATTGTTTTTAGGTTATAAGTATGTTTTTGCAAACTTGTGCCTTTTAACCAGTGTTCTGTGTAGTCCTTGGAAAAGTGGAGAAGAAAGCATGTAGGTCAGTTCCTTTGAGATCAGATGTTAGAGGAAAAGCAAAGAGGAAGTCTGTCTCAGCATCTAGAACTAGATCAGCTCTTCAGTCATGGCTTGTTGAATAGGAAGAGCAGTGACTCCTAAGATTACATGAAGTAGGGAATGGCTCTACGAAAGTATTCATTTTATTTATTTATTTATTTATTTATTTGTGAATGGATTCTAGCATAGAAAAGCTTTTGTTTGACACTGATGGCAGAGAAGGTAAAATATCGTCTTTTAGCTACTAACCTCAGCAGAGTCTTTTCCCAGTGGGTTAAGAGGAAATGCTGCCTAACAAATGGAATCAAGGGGCTGCTGTAACAGAAAAGTCACTTCCTGAGGCGAGAATAATGTCAGTTTAAGGATGTCTGATTTGTATTGCCTTTCTTTATCTTCTCTCTTCTTTATGTCATTGAACCTTGGCCATTGTGATGGCTCTTGTTCTCAACTCTGCCTTTGTTTTCCTACTAGTGTCTTAATCTTAATGCTAGTCAGCATTTCACTTATACTTATCATACAAATAGTCCAATCATGAGCCTCAGAAGCTGACACAGGATCTCAGTCTTTTTATATACACTTAGCATTCAGTCTTGATAGGAATAGTAGTAACAGCCCAGTTCCACAACAATCTCTGACTTACCACTTAGAAATCTTAAAAACACTAAAGCCAAGATTTTCTGTTTTTGGAGTACTATTACATTTCATTAAACTGTGAAATATAGTCTGAAGTAAAGACATTTATAGTTTTTATTTGTTATACTTAGTGCAAATATTTACTTGTTTTACTATAGAAATATTTATTTGATTTTGTGATCCTGAGAACATCTTGTATCCAAGTGTTTTAGATAAAAATTGTAGACCTGCGTATTAATTTACTCTACCATTCTGAATATTTCAAATTTAATCCTCTAACAGTAACCTCTGTGTAAGAGCCATGCTCTTATTGTCACGGTTTTACTCCCAGAGAAACAGTTACAAAGAAGCTAGCTTAGCAAATGGAAAAGCTGGGATCCAGAACTGGCCAGCTCTCTTGGCTACATGCTACACTGCTTGACTTTGACAAGAAGAGACCTCACTTTTTTGTTGTTGCTGTTGTTGGATATATTGCTGTTTAGAAAATGCTTACATAGATTTATTATTTGATATTTCTTTTGTTCTATAGGATTAATGGAAATCAGATCATACAATTGTTTTTTTTAATAAGACATGGAAATTCTTTGTGCTTAAAAGAACTAGAGCTGATTCAAAACTAGAATCAGCTAGTAGAATTTAACAACAGATAACCAGATTTAAAATTTAAAATTATAAATAAGTACCATAGTTTACTACGTTGGAATTCTGTAAGTACAATAACCGTACCATTAAAAAAAATCCTTTATGTTACATGATAACTGGTAAGTTATAATTCTAATTAGCAAGAGTTTAAATGAGATCAACTAAAACTGATCACCCTATATAGTCATCTGCCAGATGCCCCTGTTTAAGTATGTTTTCACAAGATACTCTTATGTGTCAACTTGCTCTTAAAAAAGAGCCAAGAACCATAGTTTGAAGACAAACAGGTATTTCAGACACCTTACCAAGGAAACTCAAAATAGGTGTTGGAGGTCTTCTGCTATTCTAACCATTTGTGATACTGATGTGTGAAAACCAAGCTGTGAATGTCTAAACCAAGCTGTGAATGTCTAATGTATATTGGGTAGTATTTTCTTTAACAGCTGAATGTTACCTCAATCTTATTGAAATACAGAGATATACCGCTGGTGCTTTTTTATTTGTCATTAATCTTTTTCTGGTTCACATGTTATTTGATATGTAATAGGTAATCAGTAAACATTTGCTGATTGACTGTCCTTAAGAAATCTGTTAGCTGGTGGGAGAATTAGAAATGTAAGAATAAGTTTAAGAATTATAATCCAAATAAAATTTGTGACAGAAGTAATTATGAGAAATCTGTAGTCATTGAGGAGCAAGAAAATTTCACATCTCAATTAGTATTGCCTCTCATATTAAATTTTATAATCATAGTAAAGAATAATGAGGAACAATGAATTGTGTTTTGGTTTAAATGATTTTCTCGTTTTCCTTTTAACTAGTTTCTCAAATGTTGATTGTTTCTGTGAAACTAGGCAGGAATTTAAATGCATTGTGTTTTTAAAACTCTTATACTGTATCTGTTCTGTTTGGTTGGTGTTTACCATTCTCTATTTCATTCTCTCACCTAACCTCTTCCTTTCTAATCTGCTTACTAAAAATGAAGATCTAACAACAGAAGCCGGGCTCAGTAACTGCTCAAAGGGAACCTTAAGCTGCAGTCATGTGGCGCAGTTTGAGCTGCTAACCTGCTGTCTAAAGGTGATGCTTCAAATGGCTTTTCTGTGCATGTGCATGGATATTGTGAGTGGTGAAAACTGTCTTAAAACCTGTGCTGTGGTGTGTCCTCTAAAGTGAATTTGTTCTTCATGGTTGCTGACAAAAAGTGGAGTTGACAAAAGAATCTTAATGTGTAGGACCTTGATGAGTACCTCTGATAATTAAGTTCTGACTGAATAATATTCAAGATTATTACAGAAACAGAAACGCTACAGAAGTTTCTTAAGAAATTTTAAATAGGCTCAACTTTGTAGACAGCTCCTTCAGGTTAGTTCCAATCAAAGGCAAGGCAATTCAGACTAAATGTGTCCTTTTCTTCATAGGACTTGCTTTAGCATCTTGTCCTACATTATATTTCCTCTACTCCTTTCTGGTTCTTGAATCAAAATTTACTTTATTAAAGTGTTGCCTCTAATGATTTAGATTTCCCAGGATTTAGGCCATGATCAACCCAAGTATTTAATTGCCAGTCTTGGAACAAGGTAGTATATAAACTTTTCAATATTACAGTGTCTAATATTATGTTTTATTATTTATTTATTTAAAGATTTATTTTTATTACAAAGTCAGATATACTGAGAGGAGAGACAGAGAGGAAAATCTTCCATTCGATGATGCACTCTCCAAGTGAGTGCAACTGCTGGTGCTGTGCCAGTCCAGAGCCAGGAACCAGAAACTTCCTCCAGGTCTCCCACGTGGGTACAGGGTACCAAGGTTTTGGGTCGTTCTCGACTGATTTCTCAAGCCATGAACAGGGAGCTGGATGGGAAGTGGAGCATAAGGGATTCCAGGCAAGAACTCCAGCCCCTAGGCCACCGCTCTGGGCCCTGTTTTATTATTTATTTGAGGAGAGTGCTCGCATCTGCTGGCTCACCCCTAAGAAAATTGCAGTGGCTGGGGCCAGGCCAGGAATCAGTTCAGATCTCCTTTCCAGGTGGCTAGAACCTAGCTACTTGAGTGATCACTGTTACCTTTCATGAATCTGTCTGAGCAGGAAGATGGACTCAGGAACCAGAACTGGGCATCAGTGTGGGTGCCCTAACCAGTGTCATGGCCACTAGGCAAACACCTGCCTCTTATCTTCTTTTTCAAAATTAAAGTCACTTTCCCCTTATGTATGTCATAATCTATTGCATGATTTTTATTAATTCACATATTAGCTTGTTATGATTTCATGTGGAATTTCTGTGGCACTGTCTAGTCTTAATTCTTCATGAGTGTTAACCCTTTAGTCAGATTGTTATTTATTAGATCTAACATTTTTAATTAAAAATTTTAAAAAATTTTTATACTTTGTGTATTGGGGATGCCATTGTGGTACAACAGGTGAAGCTGATGTCTTTGATGCCAGCATCCCATATGAATGTGCTGGTTTGAGTCCCAGGTGCTCTATATCCAATCCAGCTCCCTGTTAATGTGCCTGAAAAAGTAGCAGAAGATGGCCCAAGTACTTGTGCCCCTGCCTCCGATATGGTAATCAGGAAGTAGTTCTTAGTTCCTAACGTGGCCCTGAACCAAGTCCTGGCCATTGTGGTTGTTTGGTGAGTGAATGAGTAGATAAAGGATTATGTTTCTACCTATCAATTTTTCTATCTTATTCTATTTGAAAAAGCATAGCGAGAAAGAGAGAGATGTTTTGCATCCACTGATTTCACTCTGCTGATGGCCATGACATTCAGGTCTTGGTCAAACTGAAGCCAGGAGGCAGAAACTCCATGCAGCTCTCCCACATAGCTGGCAAGGAACCAAGTAGCTGGACCAACTGCCTTCTCAGGCTCAATAGCAGGACGCCAAATCAGGATCAGTAACAGGATGATAGATCACAAATAGTAGCTTAGCTTGCTGGGCCACACCACTGGCCTACCTACTTAAATTTGGTTCTTCATGAAAATTATGAAGACTATGATTAAAGGCTTAAAATTATGTTTTTGACTTACACCCTTTGTTTCCTTTTATTTTTTTGAAGTTTTATTCAGTTTTTTATTGGAAAGTCAAGATATACAGAGAGAAGGAGAGACAGAGAGAAAGATCTTCTGTCTGATGATTCACTCCCCATATGGCCACAACAGTTGGAGCTGAGCCGACCCAGAGCTAGGAGCCAGGAGCTTCTTCCAGGTCCCCTACACAGGTGCAGGGTCCCAAGGCTTTGGGCTGTTACAGCTGCTTTCCCAGGCCACAAGCAGGAGCCAGATGGGAAGCAGGGCTGCCGGGATTAGAACCAGCGCCCGTATGGGATCCTGGTCGTCCAAGGTGAGGACTTTAGCTACTAGGCTACAGTGCCAGGCCCACAGACATGTATTGTTAACCGTGGGTGAGGAGAAAGTTGAGGCTAGTGGATTAAAATATTTATTTAATGTTTAGCAAGCCAAATCTTAGCAAATTGTCTCTTTACCTTATGAGGAGTTCTTACTGTCTTAATTTTATGTGTAAGGAAAAGGGTGCTTGGCAAATGAAAATTGCTTAAGATTTTATAGCTATTGAATAACTGTTCTCGGTCTGATATAGGTCCTGTGCCTTTTTTGTGTTTGTTTGTTTGTTTTGGTTTATATTCCAATGTATCCTTTTGCTTCCTCCATATGAATTTTCCAATCTTCTAGTATGAAAACTATCAGTATTTCTAGGCATACTACCAGACTAATCTTAAGTTGCTTCTTTGTAGTAATGAAATGACCCTTTGATCTCAACAACAATAAAAGATCCCTGGGCTCGAAGCCAGAATCTTCAAGTAAGCTATGCATCTCTGGGTTCAAAAGCACCCATTTTCTCTGATCCTTAGTCAAGTTTGGAAAATAACCTACCTTTAAAGTATTTAAGACTCTTGAGAGAAAGGTGAATTAATTTCAAAATCAAAATTAGTCTCAATCTCTTTCTCTTTTCCCTCTTGCCCTTCCTCCTCATTAACTTTAAAATAAATCCTTTTTTTCCCAAAAAAGAAAAGCTGGGAATTCAATCCATTTGTTCAGGTTCTTCTGTGTGAGTGGTAGGAACGCAGTCATTGGAGTCATCACTGCTGCCTGCCAGGGTCTGTATTAGCAGGAATCCCTAATCTAAAAAACACAGTAGTCATTTAAAAATGTATGTCCCACCTTTTCCAAGGAATGATTAACATGATTTATTAATAAATACATCAACCATACCAACATAAATAGGAAACATAATTGCAACTTAAAGAACCAAGAAAGGCAGCATGAGAATTGAGAATTGGTTTTTTTTTTTTCTGGTGTTTATAAATTTATTTTTGCAGAGCTCTTACAGAAAGAGTAGGGTAATATCCCTTCTGTAGCATTAAGTTATGACTAAAGATCCAGTTATAGCTTGGCTGAAAATGAATCCCCTGATGCTTATAAAAGAGAATCAGTGTTTTCAACTTTTGTCTCCTGTTTGTGCAGTTTGAGTAGTAAATATAATGCTAAGATTCTGCCATTGACTGATTTTGACCATGCGAGTTGCATATAAATTGTATGCTTTTATAATTCTAGATTTAGAACCTTCTTTTCCTGGCAGGGGGTGGGGAGAGGGGAGGAAAAATTTTTCTTTCTGAGGAATAGAAAAAAGAAAAAAGCCTTTTAATCTAAGAATTTGTGACTGGCACCCATGTGACCAAGGCAGTGTGACAACCATTCACTAGTTGTCCAGTTTGGAGATAATTCATGTCTTTCGTGATAATTTTTAGAAAGTTTTTCTTAAAAAAATATCCTGCAAAATTTTAATTCAGAAAACCTAATCAGTTTGAATAACTGTGGTTCCGGTAAGAGTAGGAACCTGGGGTCAAAGTGTGGCCTCTTTAGCCTTACGCTGTCATGCCTCACTCACCTCTGGGATGTCCCCAGGGAGCCTCTTAAGGCATCTCTGAGTGCTGGAGGCAAAGGGAATCTGAAAAAATCAGTGGATTGCAGTTTACTACTTACTAACAGCTCAGTGAAGATTGGATGGATGTGATGTTTGTACCTTTAAAACAAAATGATTTGATGTCACTGGGTTTCTAAATTTATGTTTTTCCTATCTCATGTGACCATGAAGTGTAACATAGATTTATTAGTACATAGCTTTGTTGCCAAAGATTTTAGGGATTTCCTCAAAGTGAGCAGTACAAATCATCCTAACTCTCCCTCTCCTGCTTTGTTGGTGTCTCTGTACTTGTGACTGTTATACAGGACAAAGAACTTTGAGTCTAGTAAGGCCTACAAGAGCACATGGGGAGAGAGCGGAGAGAGGTCACCTGATGGTGTGGTGTCGAAGCAGCCAGGCCGGGTGACCAACGGTCAGCCTCAGCAGCCAAGCACTGGGGCTGCCAGCGGGGGATACATTAAACGGTATGCCAGTTCCACATTCTTTCTACACTTTTCTAACCTCCTCACACATGAATCTAATTTAGCATATATAGAATATATATTTTTCATTTTAGAAAGATATTTTTATTTGAAAGGCAGTGTTATGAGAGAGAGATCTTCCATCCACTGGTTGACTCCCCAGATGACTGTCAGAGCTAAGCCAATCTGAAGCCAGAGCCAGGAGCCAAGAACTTCCTCTGGGACTCCCACAATGGTGCAGGGGCCCAAGGACTTGAGCCATCCATCCTCTGCTGCTTTTCCAAGCCATGAACTGGGAGTTAGATGGGAAATGGAACCGCTGAGACTTGAACCAGTACCCATATGGCATACCAGCACCTGTAGGTGGTGGATTAGCCTCTGAGCCACTGTACCAGCCCTGTCTAGTTTTGAAATGTATTTCAAAATTGGCCTTTGACAAAGCATTGACTGACATTGTTGCCTGTGAATTATAGGATTAATATGTTTTTGCTATTAAATAATATTTTACTTCTATAAATAGGAAAGTGTATGTGTCACCTAGAGTAGGGGTTGACTGTATTCTTGTAAAGGACCTGATAGTTAGTATGTGAAACTTGTTAGCCATTCAGCAGCATTTGTAGTTAATCACCTCTGTTACTGTAGTGTGGCACCGTAGATCATACCTAACTAAATAAACATGGCTATGTTTGGGTAAAACTATTTATTTTTAAAAAATGTATTTATTTTTATGGGAAAGTCAGACTTACAGAGAGAAGGGAGAGACAGAAAAATCTTCTGTCTGCTGTTTTATTCCCCAAGTGGCTGCAGTGGCTGGAGCTAAGGTGATCCAAAGCCTCAGGAGCTTCTTCCGGGGGTTTCCTATGCGAGATCAGGGTTCCAAAGCTTTTGGCCATCCTCTACTGCTTTCCCAGGCTAGCAGGCATGGAGCTGGATGGGAAGTGTTGTGGCTGGGACACGAACCAGTACCCATATGGAATCCCAACAGTTAGAGGTAGAAGATTAGCTAATTGAGCCATTTTACTAGGCTTTGTTTTATTTTTGAAATTTATTTTTGGGGTTTGGATTTGTGGCACATCAGGTTAAGCCACTGCTTGTGATGGTGGTATCCCATATGGCAGCCTATTTTGAGTCTTGGCTGCTCCACTTGCAGTCAACCTCTGTACTAATGCATTCATGCCCCAATGGCCACGTGACTGGAACTGGGCCAGGTTGAAACCAGGAGCCATGAACTCCAAGTGGGTCTACCATATGGGTGACTAGAACTCAAGCATTTGGGCCATCATCCGCTGGCTTCCCAGGCACATTAGAAAGCTGGATCGGAAGAACAACAGCAGGGACTTGAATTGGCACTCTAATGCAGGATTCAGGGTCTATTCAAAGAATAGACCCTCTAATAGATGATATGGGTGTTGCAAGTGCTTCTTTACCTCTTATACCAGGGCACGTGGATAAACTATTTACAAAACCAGGTGGCTCGACAGTTTTGGCCTTTGAGCCATAGTTTTATATGTCTTTTAGAGTAGTGGCTCATTGTATTTAAGCTCCATTAATATCATCGGAGACTTGATACACCATAGATTATTGGGTTCACTTATTTCTGATTTAGTAGAACTGGAAGCTGAGTGTAAGAGTTAGTATGATCCCATGTTTCATAAGCTCCCTGGTAATGTTGGGAACCACATTTTGGGAAATACTGTTCTGTAATTGTTTTCTGATCTTCCCCTACATGCAATTAATACAGTGTGCTCTCCTTGATTAGTTTTTCAATTTTTTGTTGTTGAATATTCTCCAAAAATAGTAATGTACTTGTCCTTATTTATTTTTATAAAAATTAAATCCAGGCTTAGATCATTTAAATGGAACTGAAATAACTGGCATAACTACTTTTTTTCTTTTTTTTTAAACCGTAGTATCACTAATGATGCCAGAGAAGATGAAATGGAGGAGAACCTGACTCAAGTGGGAAGTATCCTGGGAAATCTAAAGAACATGGCCCTGGACATGGGTAATGAGATTGAAGCTCAAAATCGACAAATAGACCGGATCACAGAAAAGGTAAAAGATTATGTTGATATGCTGGAGGCCAGCTGCAGCTGAGTTTGGAGCTCAAGAAGGGGGTGTGGAATCGGCCATAAGGAAAGACATGGACACTGTCACTTGGTGCCCTCTCTTAACACCTCAAGAAACTGTCCTTTTTATTTATTCAGACACATCACAAGCCTCTGCACAAACATTTGATTGTTCTATTTTTACTTCATGACTAAGTGGGTATACACAGGTGTTTGGTTGTTTTATTTTTTACTTCATGGTCAACCAGGTGCTCTTAAAGATAATTCTGTAAGTTACCAAGATAATTTCCTTCAAAGGAAGCCAATATTCATTCTTCAGTAGTAGCCATTGGGCGACAGCCAGGACTCCAAGGCCAAGGCACGTAAGATTGTCTACTAATCAGTAATACATTCCCACTACATTTCTATCTCCACAACTTGCTGATCACTTGATGGGAGAAATATGTTCACAAGGGAAAAAACATTAAAATCCAAAACAAAAGTTTCAAATATTAAATCCCCCTACAAATACAGGCTCTAGAACCCCATAAACAGTCAAACAATAATTAAAAGCGTATCTATAATATTACTAAAAGCATTCTTTAATTCCTCTAGGCAAAAAATCTATAAGCAGCCAAAACAGATACATTTCCTATGCTCCAAAGAAATTGTAAAGACAGGCTAGCCTTTAAGGTCACAGCAACTGTGTTTATTGCCATAGCAGTTTCAGCTCATATTCCCATCACTTCCATTAGTTTGTAAGATTCTTCTCAAGCTCTGTCCCAGAAAGTATGCTACATGTCTGGGCCAGTTTTCAGGGCAGTGGGTAGGCACACAATTAGGTGTCCAGTAATAGCATGAGGTTAATTGTACTCCTGTGTGCAGATTATTAAAGGCCCACCTACTGAGGCATTATCAGTACACATTAACTCCCAAGCTCACATCAGTTGCAAAAGCCATTTCACAGAGGCAATCAACAATGCCTCAATAGGTTACAGAATTCTTAGTGTGGTGGTTGTGTGTCTGTGCAAAAGGGGGTGAGACTGTGTCAAGGTGGTTGGAGAGACATTTGCCAGGTCTTGCCATACAGCTGGAAGCTCCTCATAGCCTTGCCAACAGGGGAGCTGCTCTCTTCACACCTTGGTATCATCTACACCCACTGCACGGATCCCAGCATTAATAGCCACAAGAAAGTGAGATATCCAAGTTGTTTTATTAGTGGACAGTTATACTGTATAGTGGTGGGAAATAATTAGAGCAGATCCTGACCTCATAGGATTTAGTTTTGCTGAAACAGCTTTATTTTTTCCCCCTTTATTTTATTTATTTTTTTTTATCAGATATATAGAGTGAAGGAGATACAGAGAGGAAGATTTTCCATCCACTGGTTCACTCCCCAAGTGCCCACAGTGTCTGGAGCTGAGCTGAGCTGATCTAATGGCGGGGGTCTGGAGCCCCCTCCTTGTCTTCTATGCAAGTGCAGGGTCCCAAGGCCTTGGGCCATTTTCAACTGCTTTCCAGACCACAAGCAGGGAGCTGGATGCATAGTGGAACAGCCGGGACATGAACTGGCACATGCAAGGCGAGGATTTTAGCTACTAGGCTACTGCGCCAAACCTGTATTTTATTTCTTTTATTTCACATAATATAAAAGATACTGAAAGTGAAATTATTTGTAGTGTTTGATTATGTCACATTTAAAAACCCGTACTTTTGTGCCTGTGTGGTGGCTTAGCACCCTGAACCTCTATTTTTAGTGTTGGCATCCCATATGGGCATGATTCATCCCAGGGCCTCCACTTCTGATCCAGCTTCCTGCTTATGGCTAGAAAATCAATAGAGGATAACTCAAAGCTTGGGCCTCTGCATATATGTGAATACCCATAGGAAGCTCCTGGCTTCAGATCAGCTCAGCTCTCACAGCCATTTAGGGAGTGAACCAGCGGATGGAAGATTCCTATCTCTCCTTTCTCTGTAATTGTGCCTCTCAAATAAATGTAAATCTTAAAAAATATTTAAAAACCATACTTCACTAAACAGAGTACTTTAAGGAGTATGGTGTGATTTTAAATCTGGTTGTCTGTTGTATCACTTTTGCTAGTTTTTACTGAAGCAAACAAGGATACATAAGATGCTTTCATTTTGTGTGGATTAGCCCTTGAGTAGCCATGACATTCCATGATTCAATCCTATGTACTCTCATTCAAGTCCAGGTCTGTAACAGAGGAGGGCAGTTTTCTGTTGTATCAGTAATGCCAGGAATTATCAGGTTCATCCAGATTTCAGACTTGTTACACTATGAAAAATGTGGCATAGATTTTGTGAGATACTGGCAGGTTCTTCTGTTCTACCTTGGGTCAAATTTTATTTATGAAGGTTTTTCCCAAATGAATTTCATGTTTGGTCACTTCTTGCCCAAAATTAGTTGAGTAATGTGACTTCAAGTATTTCTTGAATTTTCTCAATGTATAACGTTTAGTTTTTGTTAGAGTGGTTTTCCTTGTGAAGAAATGTTGATGAAGTAATGTTGATCCTTTGTTTCTTTCTTCCAGGCTGACACCAACAAAGATCGAATTGACATTGCCAATGCCAGAGCAAAGAAACTCATTAACAGCTAAAGCTACTTACTGTACTTCTTGATCGTTATTCACTTCTCTGGCACCTCCTCCGAAGTCATTGCTTTTCCATAGTTTGACATTTTGATTCTATGCTCTTGTAATGGGGACATAATGCAAAAGAAGGGCCAAGAGAGTCACAGCCCCCAGGTTTTTCGTTTTCTGTTTTCCTTGAGGGTAGATTGCTGCTCCAACCTTCTAGTATTTTCTCAGTTCATCCTTAGGTTGGTCTTGTCACATACAGTGTTTTTATCCTTCTCATTTACTTCAGCATGTTCTCTTGCTTTCAAGATTTGGAAGCATTGCCAAAGACCCATGAAGAAGGCAGCTGAAGAGGTGGTTTTGTTTTTTTTTTTGATTAGTTGGTTTTGCTTTTCGTTTATTGGTGGAAGAAGAGATGAGAGATAGAGGTTGTTATCTCCTTAAACACCTGCAGGCCATGAAGCGAAATGTTGCAGAGTCACAGTAAAGATACAGTTGGGTATAATTTTTAATTTAAGTTGCAGTAATTGCTGGTTTGTGCTGGTATTTGGTGTTGGAGCTCTTGCAATATTTTTGTCATATGCAAGTAGAATTTTGAAACCTCTGCTCCAAAGAGAATAGTGTGAATTTTCTTAAAGTGAGCTTAATTTCTAAATTCTAAATGATTCACATATGTACATAGATTTTGTGATTCTGTTTCATATTGCACTATTCAGGAACACTTTGTATAAATGAATGGCTTTTATTTTCATATTATTAGTATGTCATGGTCCCATACTTGGCGTATTAACTTCATAAATATATTATTAGTCTCTGAGGAAAACAATATGTAAATATATATAGTGTGAGAATTTCGTAAAATAGGGTTTAAAATTTTTTGAAAAAGTTTGTCAGGTATATCAAGAGTGAATTCAAATTTACCTCAATTCTAAGAATTATGTTTAGATAGGGAAAAGGAAACTTAACTTTGATCTCAGGTTGAAAGTAGTTTGCATTGAGTTTTAAGTAACTTTAGACTTTAAAAAAAGTTTAGAATTTACTGTCTTACAAAATGTAATTTGGAAAATTATACCCTTGGTTAACTGTTGGTGATTGAAATGTCAGTCTCTTAACCTTGTGTATTAAAACTCTGTAGAGTCAAGGGTATACAGATCCTGAACAGTGTTTTGAGAATCTAATTGCTATTTGTCACCTTTGTTTAAAAATGAACATGTACACTTCTCATAGCCACGAGTGTGACTTGGGTTGGCTATTAATGGCTGCTTGATCCTCATAATTAAATTGTGTCACTAGCATAGTGATATTTTTCTTTGAATAAGGTAATATATTTCTATGACTGTTATGTTGAAGGCGGTGATTTCATTGGCTGCTGTGTAACAAACTGAGTAAAGCAAAGGTCCTTAAGTCGTAGAGCGTTCCAGCAGAAAGCTGCCTTTGGCACCTTCCTGGTTTCATTTTAATCATGATCATCAGTCTTCTATTCATTTGATCTTAAATACAGTAGTGATTGAAAGACTGTTTCTTAGAATTATAAGCTCCTTACTGGAGAAGACACAGTTAACATGAGAACTTTCAAATGCTGAAGAGGAAAATAAAAGAGACTCTGTTAGCTATCTAGAATAGAAATGCTCTATCCATGTAAGGCTGAGTGGTTTGCCTGTAATGGCAAATAGACACAGACGTAAGGATTGTACTATTCCTAATACCCTTCCTAAGAGCACTTAAAAACTTAATACCGTTGTGCCTAAAGGAAACAGTTCTGAGGAAACCAGGGTGGAAGTGTGAGTTAATCACCAAATTGTCTGGATTTACTCCCTAGCTCTGTCACCTGCTGAATGGAATTATTGTAATCCCATTTGTGTTCTTTAGTTTGCTGTCTATAAGTGGGGATTAATATTTACTACGTCCTGGAGTTGTATAGAGCAGTAGTGCATGTAAAGCACTTAAAAATGCCTGGTGAGTGTCAGAGCATAGTATGTGGTAGCTGTTATTTTCTCCAGCGTGAAGCTGTATTTAGTTAAAGATGCCTTTGTGGAGTTGATGAATCAAAGCACAGCCCTTTTCCCAGAGAAACAGGAACACTGATATGGATCACACATAAAATGAGTGTCATAAAATGAGTCATGAGTCATCTCTTCCACAGATCCCAGGTTACAAACTTTTTCATAGCTCCTTCTGCCCAGAAAGAAGTGAAGCCATAGAATCAGACCCATGCATGTGTTAGAAATCCAAGCTTAAAGCCTTTTCTGATTTTTCTGCTGTTAAATTGTCTGGAAACTTGCTATCATTACTCTTGAAAGGTAGTAACCAGTGTTTGACCACCTGGACTCAAATTTTGGTTCGCTCATTTACTAGTTATGTATCCTTAAGGCTACTATTAAGCTGTGAATAGTTAAAAAAACAAAAAACAACTATATTGGCTCCTGTTTCTTTGGTTTTATTTCATCTTTTGTTTCCAAATTTCAACTCTAGATCTTTCTGTGTCACATGGATTATGAATCCTACTTTAATTTCAACATCTACATCCTCATTGCACTTAGAATTTGCTTTTAAGGGCTATTTCATTTAAGTCACCATCTTACTAAAATTCAAGGTTGTATCAATTATATTCCTAGTCATATTTTTCTTAGATTATTAATATGAAGTTTCTTCTCCTTGGGACTTCTGTGTGGTGCAGTTGCTAAGTCACTGTTTTGGACAGTTGCATTCCATATTGGAGTATTTGGGTTGAATTTCCAATCTGCTTCTGATCTAGCTTCCTGCTAATTTGCACCCTGGGAAACTGAAGGTAATGGCTCAAGGATTTCAGTAGTCCCAGCTACCTGCATGGGAGATCTGGATGGAGTTCTTGGTTCCTGGTTTTTGTCTGGCCTGTTGTGGGCATTTGGAGAGCGAATGAGTGGGTAGAAAATTGATGTCTGTCTCGGTCTCTGCCTTCAAAATACAATAAATGGCTCAGCACAGTAGCCTAGTGACTAAAGTCCTCGCCTTGTATGCGCTGGGATCCCATGTGGGCACCAGTTCATGTCCTGGCTGCTTCATTTCCATTCTGGTTCCCTGCTTGTGGCCTGGGAAAACAGTCGAGGATGACCCAGTGCTTTGGGACCCTGTACCCACATGTGAGACCCGGAGGAGGCTCCTGGCTTCAGATCAGTTCTGCTTCGGATCAGCTCAGCTCCGGTTGTTGTGGCCATTTGGGAAGTGAATCAGTAGATGGAAGATCTTCCTCTCTGTCTCTGTTCTTCTGCTATATGTGTACCTGTCTTTCTAATAACAATAAAAAAATCTTTAAAAAAAAAAGATGTTTACACAAGTTCCTTATCATCTTGTCATTGTTTATAATTTCTGCCTCAAGCTTCTATACAGAGGAGATAAATGCTGTACAGATGAGATAAATGGCATTCCTTGAGTGTTCTCTGTTGTGGGTACTATGCTAAGTGGTGTTATGGTCCTTTTCACCATATTCTAATAGCAAATATGAGAGACAGGAAGTATTGCCTATATTTACAGATGAAAGAAAATTGCTTAAGTTGATAAAGTATTCATAATGGATCTCACTTCCCAGGCCTTGATCATACTCAGTACACTACACTGACTTCCACACCCAACTCTTAAGGTGTTTTTTTTTTTTGTCTTGTTTTTGTTTTATGTTGCAGACCTAAAAATTTATTTGCGACGGGACCGGGTTAACGGGAGGGAGAAGGAAGGGGAAAGCACTTAAAGAGAGCCTCTCGAAAGGGGGCTTAGGGCTGGTGCTAAACTCGAATCTGGATCTCCAGAACACAAGTCAGTCTGCTTTGCTAACCCCCGGTTAAGTCTAAACTTGTTCTCTGTAACTTTGTAGATGTTTTGAGCCTGTGCATTTAAGTCATTCAGTCTAACATGAGAGAACTATGAAGGTGCTCTAGGAACAGATGGGCAAGCAGTTAATTTGGCTTAGGGAAAGGAGCTTAGACACAGAGAAGCAGCACGTAGAGAGGGCATTGCTGACTAACCTTGGGGAATGCAAAAAGTCCATGAAGATGTGTATAGTGAAAAAACTATGGATTTCAAAATGTTTTGCTCCAAACTTTATCTTCTGATTTCATTTTCCATGAACTTTTTGAAGTACCTTCCCCCCCCCCCCCCCAAGATTTATTTTTACTGGAACGACAGATTTACACAGGGAAGGAGAAACAATCTTCCATTCGCTGGTTCACTCCTCAAATGGTTGTGAAGGCCAGAGCTGAGCTTCTCTGAAGCCAGGAGCTAAGAGCCTCCTCTGGGTTTCCTATGTGGGTGCCAGGTCTTATGGCTTTGGACCATCCTTTGGTGCTTTCCAGGCCAGAAGCAGGGAGAGGATGGGAAGTGGGACAGCTGGGACTACAACTGGCTCCCATATTGGGTGTTAGTGCTTACAGCTGGAAGATTAGTCAGTTGAGCTATTGTGCCAGTGCCTGAAGTATTTACAGATTAAAGAGGAGGTGTTATGCTCTCAACTTCCTGGCTGAGCTAGGTTTAACCATTACTGAGAACTGTCAATAATGATTAATAATAGCTGCTTGGCTAAGATAAAACAGAAAATCACCAGAGTTATCTTCCTAAATGTTCTTGTCAGATGATCTTACATGTGCCTTGGTACTCTGAGTCCAAGAAAGCAAGGTTCCACTACTGTGAAGTGTTTTATCATCAGTCACATGAAGGCAATTTACTGCTTGTCTAACCTGAACAAGAATTTGGAACACATCTCTCTAGTCAGTCTTCTTTCAAAGAAACAAAGGGCCATATTCAGGTCAAGTTCCTGTTCTCTTCCTTTAGTGGATAAACAGTGCCTTCAGCCACAGTTCATTAAAAATTCTTTATTTTAGTATATTCTCTCATTCAGAGAACACACTTGATAAACATATAGTTTTAAAATTAAATATTATAGCAATGGTTTCTTGATAGACAATTTGATTAGTAGAGTTATAAATACAAAAAGGGAAAACATTACCAGAAATAAGACATTATTTCTACCAAAGCTTCAGGAAAATCTTGATTATTAAAATCCCTTTTATCTTACAAATGTTGCATATATGGAATTTTAGCTCTTCAGAGTCCTCTACCAATAAGGCACCTGCAATAGTTAAGAATTTGCTACTGCAGCCTTGGGGAGCATCTTAGCATTATGGTGGAGCTTCTCTGACAAAGCACAGTTTCATTCAACATACAGTCATATCTGCTTACATCCTAAGTTCATAGTATAAACACTGCAATTGAAATGAAGGGCTGTAATAAAATCATAAATTCCTAGATTAAGCATAACAGTCTCAAAAATTATTTGAATTTCATAAAATCTGGTGTTAACACAGGTGGAATGACAACCGACTTTATGAAAGCTCACATATTGAAGCTAAATGAAATTCAAGCTGTAGTATGGAGCTGTTCTGTTACCAGGCAGCACCTCCCTCACCATATAAATAGTAACTAGTTTAGCTACTGGTCTCATAAAGCCAAACTACTGGTGGTTTTACTATCCATGCCAAAATGGAGAACTCTTCCTGTCTCTTCATTCCTTTTCCTTTGGCTTACTTGGGACAAGCCCTGAAAAGGATGAGGCTCATCGAGTGAAACAATCTCCTGGAGTGTTGTCTCCTTCTTGCAGATCCGCCTGGCAACAATGGGAGCCTCAGATTCAGCCAGATTCTTGGGTTCCCCATCAGTGTCCTGTGAGATTTCCATCATTCTGGAGGATATCATGCAAACTTCTTCTTTGTGGCTGTAAACCTCTCCATGTACTGAAAATGGGGAAAGAAGAATAGACATGGGGTGTTTTGTAATGAGCAAATAGAAGCTGAACTCTGCTTTTCGATTTTTATTGGAAGTGGTTCATTTCTTACAAAATTTACCTATTCAAAACGCAAATTTAAAACAGATTTTAGAATTTTATTTTGGCAGTAAAACAAGACAACGATGTTTTACAATATGCCATCTATACAGAAAAAATTGTCTTGGCACAATATAACTTGGCTGCTTTGTCAGATCCCATTGACAACAGCTCTAACATTCATATGGATTATTTCTGCTACTGTTTTCTCTGAGGTTATGGCTACAAATGGCAGCAGTACCTGAGGACATACCTTATCATAGCCTTCCAGTTCTCGAAGTTTCTTTATTTCAAAAAGATTGCCTTCCACAGCCAGCAGACAGATCTGGGAGTCACTGAGGATGCTTTGTGGAAGCATGCTGAGCTCCAGACAGTTCTCTTCCAGGCGAAGAACTTTGAGACGTGGACAGCAAGATATTTTCACTGAGATCTGAGATATCTGTGTTGAATATTCACAGCCAAAGAATAATAGGAGAAAGCATAATTATAATGATTATGATTTTAACAAACATACAAGCAAAATTTTATCTTGATGATTTGTCTTTGTTCTCCTTTTAACCACCTCCATTTTCTCACGGCCTACTCAATACAGAAGTCTGTTACATAGCTTCTATTATTGCTTTTCCACTTTAAAAACATTTTGAAGGTCACTATTTTTCAGAAACAAAATTTTCAGATAATAAAGCACTGTATGTTCTTTGTGGAAATGCTGAGAATCATATTAGGTTAAAGAAAAGTCTGCCTATTGCCCTTCACTTAGCTATAGCTACCATCAACATTTTGGTACATTTTCCTGCCAATCTTTTGTAGATGATAACGACAGTACTGTCAGAGTCAAAGATCAATCCTTGCTGCATTCGAGTAAAGTACTCATCCTTTCTTTGAAATGTCCTTTGCATAAGTGCTTGATTTTTTTCCCCCTATATTTTGAATTATCTGATATTTGGCTTCTCTTCACGCAGTAATCCCTATTGCTTTGATATATCTTCTTTGTCACCTTTTTCTTAGGAAGTTAATTTATTCTTGAAGCCATTCCTTCTGTTATGACAACAAAATCCTGGTCTACATTCTCATCTACTCATCTTTATTCCATTCTATGTCTTCAACTTTCAATAAAGCATTTCCACTGATATGATTCACCATAATCACTTCAGCATCTCTAGTCTCCTTAGCACCACTCCTTCTTTGTCTTCAGGTCCAATACCAACCAAATTGTCTGATTCTCACCTCTTCTGATCTTTGTTTCAAGTTACCAAAATCTGTTGATTCTCAGACCATCGATTGGGAAATACGCATACCTCATTCCAGAACTACTGAGTGGAAAACAGGATGAAGATCTAGCGACCTCTAAATAAGTTAAGTTTTCCTGATTATTCTCATGCACAATAAAGTCAGAACCACTGACTAAGGCATGAGCAAGGTGAGTATGTAGTTAAGTCCTAATATGTTACTTAACTGATTCAAGACCTTTTTTCCTCCAAGAATATATAATACCAACTTTAAGGAAGAGATGAGGCCAGTCTTCTTAAAGACTGACTCTTATCTAAGTTCATTATAATCTAGAGTAGTGATAACCACAAGCGGCTAGTAGCTACTGTGCTAGATAGACCCCTGCAGAACCAGAAGCACAGATGGTAGAAAAACTAAAGGCCACACAATCTCAGTGTTCACTGCTTCATCATTTGAGCCTTATGCCTGAACCGGGGATTATTTCCCCAGACAGAGAAATAATTGCCAGAAAGTTTCCAAAGTAATGCAAACAATTCAAATACAATTAAGGTAACAGAGAAATGGGCTGCCTCCAGAAAGCCTGTCGCTTAAGAAAGCACTAACATAGCACATTTAACATAAAAATCCTGGAGTAACCCCTGATGCCCCACTCTCAAGCTTTGTACACTGAAACCGCACTTCCCTTCTATATTCCTGATGTTGCTCCTTGTTTCATAGACAACTATAAGAATTTGAAGACTTGAAAGTAATTGACTTTGGAAATTATCTCACCCTCCCCCAATACAATGCACCCTCCTACTGCAGCAATACCCCGTGTCCTAAGCTAACTGCTTGGCACTTTGAGCTTGGAAATTAGTTCAGCCTATAGAATATACCTCTCACCTAGTCTCTATCAGGGACCACAAACACAGTTGTAGAGAAAAACCTTAAGTTCTAAACCTGATTTTGGTTGAGATTGAGTTCGATGACTTGCAGCTCTCCCACGATGTCGGGTATACTCCGAATCCGGTTTTTTGAGAGATCCACTACATCGAGGTGCCGAAGGCTGCAAAGTTGAGGTGGTAGGATTCCCAGTTGATTTCCAGAGAGGCTCAGGGTCTTGAGGGCAGAGAGTTGCCCAAAGGTGGATGGCAGCTCTTTCAGGTGATTGTTGTTGAGGCTTAGTGTCTCAAGTTTTTTCAGATTGCATAACTCATCAGGCAGAACAGCTGGCAAAGGAAAAACAGTGAAAAACCTGAATCTGATGGAGTTGAATAACACCTGTGATGAAGTGTGTAAGGCCTGCATGATACATGGTAGCATGTTTTGCCTCCTGCTAATATATGTGGAGGACTTCACCTATGCCATTTTCAGGGCCTGTATTTTGCCAACACGGTGTTCAGGCGAGGATGCCATCCAAAGGGAGGAGCGTCTTTAGGTGCAGGGAGGCCTGTTGTAAAGGGCCCCTGGCACAGACCAATATCGATTTTTTTGTGAGACATGGAAGATCCTCCCCCATTGCACTCCATTCCGCCCCCTTGCCAAATGTGAGGCAGCTCAGTTTACATCACATGCTCATGTTCTTTTCTTCCATGTCCAAATTAACCCTGTAACAATCATCGTGTCGCCCAAGGAGGCATCCCAAGAGGAAGAAGGCTTCAGGGACCCTGACATCGTTCCTCTGGAGCCCTCCGAATGGTATCATAATAAAACATCAATTTGGGTTAGAGAAAACCACCCTTCCTCAAGGCTTATCGTCAGCGAGAAGCTTCCCAGGCGCCAAAGTCATACTCAGTTTGTTGTTGTTCAGGGTGAGGCTCTTCAGCAGGGAGAACTTCCCCATCAGTGGAGGTGGCAGGCTCTCGATCTTGTTGTTGGACAAATCGATGGTCCTGAGATTGCTCGTCAGCTTCTGCAACTCAGCGGGGAACTGCAGAAAGGAGTTCACGGCGTGGAGAGGCCCTGCCCGACTAGCTTCGCCGCCCCAGCCGTCCCTCTCCCTCCCCGTCTCACCTCGGTCAGCCCACGGTCCTTAAGCTGAAAAACACCGGTTTTCTGCGCCGTTTCCACATGAGCGCGGAGGGCACTGTTCCCCATCCTGGCGCAGCCGAGGCTCACGTTCCTGCAGGAGGGGAAGCCAGCTGTCACTGACCCCCGTCAGCCTCCCGTTTTGGGTTTCCTGCCCTAGCTGTCACTTCGTGCTGTTCCCTGGATCCTGGGGATTCCAGCCGAAGACCGGCAAGGAAGACCGGGAAGGACAGACACCCCGGCTACCAATGCCCTGGCCGCTTTTGCAGCTGTGCGGAGGTTAGGAGCCCTTGGGAGCCTCTAGAGGCGCGGAGAACCTCTGGAGGACAGGACTCGCCTCCTACTTAAGCAAAGCACCGGGTCGACTCCGCGGGGGAAGAGCCGGTGAGACCCGAGCAGGTCTGAGATGCTCTCCCGGGGCTTCCGCCCGGGCGAGACCGCCCCGTGACGTCATCGAGCGGCGCCGCGCGTCGGCGCTCAGCGCCCGCCTGGGAGGCGCGTCGGAACCATGGCTGCAGCCAGCCCGTGGAAATCGGCGTCGGAGCCCAGCGCCGCGGGCGTGTTCCTGAACCACTTGGTCACGTCAGGGATCGTCACGGAGGTGCGTGGGGCTGGCCACGGCGTCACCTAGAGGGATCCTACAGTGGCGACAGCAGGCAGTTGTGAGGTGGTGAGGGTGCCGGTTGGGAGCCGTAGTGGAGAAAGAGGCGCGCAGAACCGCTTGCTCGCTCGCTTGCTCTCTCACCACGGTCAGGCCGTTCGGCCAGTGGGTTGCTTGAAAGCGGGGTATTTGAATGAGTGCAGTGGACTGAGAGGCAAATGAATACAGACTGATGAGTCGGAGATAAAACAGTGTTTCCCCACTTTTTTTTTTTAAGTAATTAATCTAGTGACAGCGCCTTCCGGTGCAGTGTGAGGACGGCTTGATTTCGTAGTAAAGAGAGATTAGCTCAGAGGATGGTAGTTTGGGACGAGAAGAGCATGATCCCAGGCCAGGGAGTGGAGCCCTAGAAGGAGCAGGTGAACAGGGAGGGCAGAAGTGATGGAAGGGACATGGGGGTGGAATCAAGGCCATTGAGATTGGAAGAATTTTGACTTGAAGAGAAAGTTGAGGAATTTTGCTAGAAAAGGAGGTCGAGAAAAAGCTAGCAACCTGTATGGCAGCAGAAATGATCAGCCCAAGTATGATGGGAGATTTATGGGAAAAAAAAATATGCAGGGTTTTTGTACTTCAAAGTGTCGTTAGAAACGTCTGAGGTTTTTTTTTTTAAACTGAGAAACTTAATACTTGGGGTCTGTGTCATGGCATCGTCACTGCCTGCCATTGCCTTATTCCTGTGGGTGCTGGTTCGTTTCTTGGCTGCTCCACTGGCAATTCAGCTCCTTGCTAATGATTTGAGGAAGAATTGCCAAAGCTTTGGGCATCTGCCACTTCACAGGAGTCTTGGAAGAAGCTCCTGACTTGGACCTGGTGGAGCTCTGGTCGTTGCAGCAGTGATGGTTACCTGAATTCCTAGTGTGGAGACTTGGGTCGCATTCTCAGCTTGTGGCTTCAACCTTGGCCCTGCCTGAGCCGTTGTGGGCATTTGGGAAGTGAAGCAGAAGATGGAAACTTTGTTTCTCTGCCTCTCAAATAAGTAAAATTTAGTAAATAAGTGTCTTTCCCCCTTAATCTGCCATGAGCTTCTTGGATGTGCTGATTTTATGTCATTCATCCTTGTATCTTCCATTACCTAACCTGACAAATGTTTGTAAAATTGATCACTGTGGGTCAGCAAACTTTTACCATGAAGGACCAAAGAGTAAACATTTGAGACTTCATGACTGCAGCCTTTCAACTAAGCAGTTGTAAGCAGTTGTGGTGTAAAAGCAAGCAGGGATATTATGTAAGTAGATGTGAGAAGTTGTTTAAGTGTGTATTTCTAGACCTGAAATTGGAATTTCATGTAATTGTAACACATTACAAATACAACTTTTCTTTGATGAATCACATTTGAAAATATGAGGGACATTTTCAGCTGATAGGCTGTACAGAAACAGGCAGTGAGTTACATTTAGTTCATGGGCACAGTTTCCCAGTTCTGGGCTTGTTTGATCTCCTAAGTTTTTTGTTATGCCAAGTCTCTAGAAAAAAGGAGGCCATGGAAGTAAAGGATGATGTTAAGGGATAGATAAGATATTGTTTGTATAATGAGGCAAACTGCAACTTAGGTTGATAGTGTAACAGATCAATAGAAAAAAAAAGTTAAAAAAAGAAAAGGTAGCTTTTTAAGAGTAGTAACTGCCTAGACAAAAAATTCTTTTCTTTGTTTTGTTTTGTTTCTTCTGAGGCTACTTGTTTATTTATGTGAAAGGCAGAGTTAGAGGCAGAGGAACATAGTTTCCTTTTGCTGGTTCACTTCCCAAAAGGCTACAACAGCCAGAGCTAGACCACCTGAAGCCAGGAGCCTAGATCTCCATCTAGGTCTTCCACAGGGGCCCAAGCATTTAGGGCATCTCCTGCTGCCTTCACAAGCACATTAACAGGGTGTGGATTGGAAGCAGAGCAACCAGGGCTTGAACCAGCACCCATATGTGATAGGACCGTTACAGGTGGCAGCTTCATGTGCTGCCACAACACCAACCCCAAACATTCATTTAACAGAGTAGGAATGTGAGCAAACTAGATGAATGATTTGTAACCAGTTGAGGTTATTTAGTTACTCAGGTAAGTGATTCTGTGGAGGGGAATTAGATTTAACCCGTGAGAGGTGTTTAAAAAAATTGTTTTTGCTATGACTTAACCTGAGTCATTTGGAATGGTCTGGGTTGAGCATCCAAAGATTCTCAGCCTTGGAATCTCTTGAGTAGCTATTAGTAATGCAGATTTAATGTGTAGGTACTCTAAGAAATCGTACAAAGTGGTTGTCTTGTTTGTCTTGTTTTTTAAATGTTTGGGCAAAGGATTTGAGATATTGAAGCTTTTAGAAACAGGGGATATGGGCCTGGCACAGTAACCTAGCAGCTGGGATCACATTGCACACCTGGGATCCCATGTGGGTATCAATTCATGTCTCGGTGGGCCCTCATCCTGTCTGGCTCCCTGCTTGTGGCGGGGAAGGCAGTTAAGGATGGTTTGAGGACTTGGGAACCTGCACCAATGTGGGGGGCATGGAGGAAGCTCCTGGCTCCTGGCTTCGGATTAGCGCAACTCCGATTGTTGTGGCCACTTGCACAGTAGATCAGTGGATGGAAGATCTTCTGTCTCTCCTCCTCCCTGTATATCTGACTTTCCAATAAAAATAAATAAGTCTTTTAAAAAAACAACAACAGGTAATACATGTTGCTTCTGTCTGTTTTTCATGCTGGGCACATACATTTTCATAGTAGATGCATGGGCATGTTGTTACATTGTATGTAGAAATTATGGTCACATTTTACTGCTCATTTTGTTCATTTACGACCTGCAGGAGATGTTAAACATATCTAAGAAAACAGACCCTTGCTTTGTGAACTTCTCTAGACTGCAGAAGATCACAAATCTTCAAGCTGAAATCTACCAGGTAAATCATGTTGATCTTTTAATTTTCTGCTTCTGATACAGAAAAACGAAACAAAAACACAACCCACCTTGATTAGTTCAAACAGCAAATTTCTTCCGCTTAGAACAGTGTTTAGAATAAACCTGGATCGGTGTTTGCTTGTAGCAGTCGTAACAGCAGCAGGAAGAAAAGAATACTAAAATGGAGAGCTTTTGTAAAGCTTGGGACTCTTCAAACAGATCATCCTCCTGTCAGACTTAAGGAATGTTTTCTTAGTAGCTGTTTACATAAAAAATTGAAGCCTTTAAGAATATTTTATGAGTGAATCAATGTTACTTTTGTTCCTAATATAGAAAAACTTGGAAATTGAGCTGTTAGAATTAGAAAAAGATACAGCAGATATTGTCCATCCTTCGTTTTTGGGTAAGTAGCTTGATTAACAATGTTATTGGAAGTTTTTTATTTTTTTTAACATTTATTTATTTTTATTGATAGGTCAGATCTAGACAGAAAGATGTCTCTGCTGGTTCACTCCCCAGGTGGCCACAATGGTCTGAGCTGAGCTGATCCAAAGCCAAGAACCAGAAGCTTCTTCTGGGTCTCCCATGTGGATGCAAAGTTCCAAGGGTTTGCGTCATCCTCTACTGCTTTCCCAGGCGAGAATCAGGGAGCCAGATGGGAAGTGGGGCAGCCGGCACACAAACCAGCTCATGCAACACGAGGACTTAATCATTGGAATTTCAACATTTTGTTTTAGATTGTGTAAATGAATATGAGGTAGAAAAATTCTGATATACCATAGTGTTTCCAAGTATTGCCCTAAAGTGACAAATGATTTTTTAATCCGCATTAGAAGTACTGTTGGCTTAACTACTGCAAATAACATGAGAGAGGGACCAAACTGACTCCTTAGTCAAAAGAGTTTGAGACACAAAAGCACAAGACAACTAAAGCATTGTATAATCTTGAATTGAATATTTGATCAGAATTTTTTTTTTTAAGATCTATTTGTTTGAAAGGCAGATTTACTCATCAATACAGAGACATCTTTCATGTTGGTTCACTCCCCAGTTGGCTACAAATGCCAGTGCTGGACCAGATTGAAATCACAGGCTTCTCCTAAGTCTCCCGTGTGGGTACCAGGGCTCAAGGACTTCAGCCATCCTTCACTGCTTTCCAAGGCACCATAAACAGAGCTAAATCAGAAATGGAACAGCTAGGACTTGAACTGATGCCCATATGGGATGCCGGCATTACAGACTGTAGTTTAACTCATTACACCATGATTCCGATCTCAGAAAAAAATTTTTTTTGCTATAAAATACACATTGGGTGATGCTATGTTGGTAGTATTATGTTGATATTAAATGTTTAATTTGTTAAATGTAGTGTTATATGAAATACTCCTATTCTTGGGAAATATATTTTGTAGTTTTAGGAATAGAGTCTCATGCTATCTGCAGTTTACTATCAAATGAGTCCTGTAGAGAACTAAAGTTATGTATGTGTGCTTGTGAAGAGAAAAATAGAATATAGCTAAATGTTAACAATTACTGAGTCTTGGTAAAATCTATATGGGAACTTTCTTGAAGCTTTTGTAAGCTCGAATATTTTGGCAGTCACTAACTGAATTCTGGAGAAAATGCTGAGATAATCAGAAATAGCTGGGTTTAGCGTGATGACCTAAGCAGCTAAAGTCCTTGCCTTGAATGCTCTGGGATCCCATGTGGGTGCCAGTGCTGATCCTGGAAGCCCCACTTCCCATCCAGCTCCCTGCTTGTGGCCTGGGAAAGCAGCAGAGGACAGCCCAAAGCCTTGGGACCCTGCACCCGTGTGGGAGACCCTAGGGAAGCTCCTGGCTCCTGGCTTCTGGCTCCTGGCTTTGGATTGGTACAGCTCTGACCATTGTAGTCACTTGGGGAGTGAATCATCAGATGGAAGATCTTCCTCTCTTTCTCTCCTCCTCTCTGTATATCTGACTTTGCAATAAAAATCAGAAATAGCTTGTAAAATGTTTTATCATGTGCCCGTGTAAAATATCAGGCAAGGGAAAGAAATTTTAAATGAAGAAAATGGCTCTAGCTGTGCAAACTGAGAAAGAAGAGATAGATTTAAGAAACATGATTGGGGCTAGTGCTGTGGCTCAGCCTATCGTGCCAGCTTCCCATATGGGTGCTGGTTCAGGTACAGGCTGCGATGCAGCTCCCCAGCTGTGGCCTGGGAAAGCAGCAGAGGATGACTCAAGTTCCTTGAGCCCTTGCACCCACATGGGAGTCCCAAAGGAAGTTCCTGGCTCCTCCCTTCAGATTAGCATAGTGCTAGCTGTTGTGGCCATTTGTAATAAATGGAAAATATTTATCTGTCTATAAATGTACATCTCAAATAAAAAGATATAAGTCTTAAAAAGAAAAAAGGAATAACTTAAAAAAATGAAAAAATTTAACAGATGTGATTGCCAATATGAAAAATAACAAAGTAGTTAGAAATGAAATTAGTATTGCTATCAAAATAGCAAAGGGACGGGAATGATGAGATTAAGGGCTCTTTTTTCTTTAAGTTCTAGAGGCATAAAAACAGGACAGAGCTCGCATCCAATGTTTTCCTTCAGAACGCCCACAGTGGCTGAGACCGGATTGGCCCAAGCTGGGAGCTGGCAATTCAGTGCAGATCTCCCATGTGGGTGGCAGGAACCAATTATTTGAGCCATCAGTGTACTCACCTCACACAGTCATTGATAGTCTCCAAGCAAAGCATAAATTATTAATGATCCCAAGCTTGTTCTGTTGCTAACTGTAATTACTGTTTCTGGTTTGTGTAGCTGAGAAGTGTCACTCTCTGCAAAGCATGAATAATCATTTGGAAGCAGTACTAAAAGAGAAGAGATCTCTAAGGCAAAGACTGTTGAAACCCATGTGCCAGGAAAACTTACCTATTGAAGCTGTTTACCACAGGTTAGACGGAAAAGTAGAAAGTAACAGTTGCCAATGTTTTCTGACAGGAGTCTGTGCTTAGATTGGCAGTTACTTTATAACATAATTATTGACACACGGTAGTGGTAGTTTTTATTAACATTAGAAATCCTAGTATCCATTAATCTAGAAAGAAAATCCTTTGCTTTTAAAGGATTATAGCTGTGATGAAAAAGGATTTCATTTTGTCCATTATATTTTGGAAATTTTAAGTTATGACTTTGGTGAAAGAAATTAGGTCTATGACAGTAACATGTAAAAATCATTTTCCATTATGTATGGACTTTTCTGTGAGATAGATGTATTGAATTAATGTTATATATACATTATATATAAATAATATAAATAGGTTTTATTGGATGTATTTAAGAGACAAGTGAAAACAATGTCAACTAAGAAAAAAACTTATTCTAGTTTCATCTTTACTGTCTGTATGTTTTAAAGACTTGGGCAGTTTTTTTGCCTCAGTTTCCCAATCTATAGAATGGGGATCCCATCACCCCAAGATTTATTTGCTTATTTTGAAAGAGTTACAGAGAAAAGGTGAGGCATAGAGAGATCTTCCATTCACTGTTAAACTCCCCACATGGCCTCAATGGCCAGAATTAAGCCAAAGCCACAAGCCAGGAAATTCATCCAAGAGGTCTCCCATGTGGGTGGCAGGGCTCCAGACACTTGGGCCATCTTCTGCTTTTCCCAAACCTTTAGCAGGGAACTGAATTAAAAGTGGAGCAGCGGACCTAGTGGGATAGCCTACTGGCTAAATCCTCACCTTTCATGTGCTGAGATCCCAGTTTGTGTGGGTGCCAGTTTGTGTCCTAGCTGCTCCACTTCTCAGCAGCTCCCTGCTGTGGCATGGAAAGGCAGGAGAGGATGGCCCAAAGCCTTGACCATGCACCCATGTGGGAGACCCAGAAGAAGCCTCTGGTTCTTGGCTTTGGATCAGCTCAGCTCAGACCATTGTGGCCACTTGATGAGTGAGATGGAAAATCTTCTCTCTGTGTGCCCTTTTCTCTGTATATCTGCCTTTTCAATGAAAAGATAAATGTTTCAGAAAAAAAAAGTGAAGCAGCTGGAACACAACCAGCACCCATGTGGGATGTCAGCATGGCAGGTGATGCCCTTACCCGCTGTATCACAATGCCAGTCCCTAATCAGAACCTTTTTTATTGCTATCTTCCTCATAGGCTTATTTCATATATCGAATTGAAGATATAGCAAGCTGTTAATAACAAGTAGCAAATGATGAACAAGAAGTATCTGATTGTTGACTTTCTTCACCACGGCTTCAAATCAATATTTGTCCCTGAGCAAATCAGTATTTGCGTAAATGTTAGATTTTTGTTTTGTTTTGCAGTAAGATAATATAGTATCTCTATTTTTGTGGCTGTATTCAGTGTATTGCCATTAATATATGTAAATCAAGAGATTAATTTATTTTCATTAAATTAATGTATTAATACATAAATGTAAATATGTAGTAAATATACTACATCAAAAATTTAGTGATTTGATTTGAAAGCATTTTGCAAATTCAAAGATGTGGCATTGTATATAGTTTATTTTCATTAAATACATTGTTTTCACTGAGGATTAATAAATTGACATGGAATGTGGGTTTGTCTAGGAAAATATTTTTAAAACAAAAATTTATTTGCTTATTTGAAAGGCAGAATGACAGAAGGAGAAAAAGATCCTTTTCTACTGATTTACTCACCAAATGACCTAAGTAGCTGAAGCTGGGCCAGGCCATAGTCAGGAGCCTGGAATTTAGACTGTCATTTTTGAGGCAGGGGCCAAGTTACATGGGCCATCCTCTGCTGCTTTCCCAGGTGCCATATCAGCGAGTGAGATCTAAAATGGAGCAGCTGGGATTCAAATCAGCACTCTGATATGGAATGCTGTTGTCCCAAGCAATGGCTCAGCTTGCTGTACCACAACACTGGCCCTGAAATACTTTTTTTTGTTTGTTTGTTTTATCACCATTGGGAGTTGCATAACAATGGATGTGTTCAGATACGATCAGTGTTGTCTCTGTTTTTCAGTTTGGGTGACAAATTTTCTTAAAATGTTTGTGGATGGGACCAGTGTTATAGCCTAGCTGGTTAGCTGCTGCATGTGACATCAGCATCCCGTTTTAGTGCCAGGTGACGCTCCAGGCTAGCTCCATGTTAATGCACCTGAGAAAGCAGCAGAGGCTGGCAGAGTGCTTGGACCCTGCACCCAGGTACAACACCCAGGTGAAGTTGCAGGTTTCTGGCTTTGGCCTGATTCAATTGCTGCTGTCATAGGCATTTTGGGGAGTGAATCAGCAGATAAAATATTTTTCTTTGTCTGTAACTCTGCTTTCACATGAATAAATTCTTTTTTAAAAAAAAAGTGAAAGAGGACTAATTAAAAAAAACTGCAGACTTTTTGTATAAATACAGGAAGGTGTTATTGGCTCATTAGGTCTTTAATTCAAAGTTTAATTAAAGGAAGCAACCCAAAACAATTAAACTAAAAAAGAATTGAATTTTTTCTCCTCCTTTCAGGTCCATGGTACATTTGATGGAGTTAGCTGTGACTTTCATTGAGAAACTAGAAACCCATATTGAAACAATTAGAAATATCCCTCGTGTAGATGCAAATCTAAAGAAAATGGTAAGTTTTAATATAGCTATATTTAGTTATTTATATTAAAATCTTGAATGTGTGATTTCCTTATTTAACTTTTAATGTTTGATTTTATGAACTAACCTTTTTCTCCACTGTAAATCTGACTTTCCAGTATAAAAAAATATTTAAAAAAAGATTTCAATAAAAGCAAACCTTGAAGAATTAGTGAAATTTAGAGATTAGTTTGCCTAAAACCACAATGAGGAAAGAAAAGAAAGTTCAAAGAGCATAGTTTGGAAGACAAGTAGTTTTCCAGTTTGGCTTATATTTAAAGCCACTGTGGGGTAGATGAACTCAGAGCTAGTACATGGAATGTCTTTTAAAGATTTTTATTTATTTATTGGAAAGTCAGATTTTACAAAGTGAAGGAAAGAGAGAGAAAGATCTTCTCTCCACTGACTTGTTCCCAAAGTGGTATCAACAGCTGGGGATGAGCTGATCCCAAGCCTGTTCCTGTTCTCCCATGTGGGTGCAGGGTACCAAGGCCTTGGACCATCCTCTACTGCTTTCCCAGGCCACAAGCAGGGAGCTGGAAGGGAAGCAAAGTAAGGAGGATTAGAACCAGCGCCTTTATGGGATCCGTGGTGTGCAGTGTGAGGAGTTTAGCCACTGGAATACCACGTTGGGCCCTGGAATGTCAAAACATTCCAGACATTATTGTTTGAATACTGGAGAGCTATTGAAGGGTCCATCTTTTTCTTTTCTTTCTTTTTTTGTGAAGGTTTATTTACTTTTTTTTTTTTTTGAAAGGCATATTTACAGAGAGAAGGAGAGAGAGGGAAAGATCTTCCATTTTCTGGTTCACTCTGCAAGTGGCCACAACAGCTGGAGCTGAGCTGCTGAGGAAACAGTAGCTTCTTCTTGGCCTCCCCTGTGGGTGCAGGGTTCCAAGGCTTTTCGTCTGGTGCTGAATCAGAAGTGGAGCAGCCATAATATTTACCAGTTCTTCTTCTTTTTTTTTTTAATCGTATAATTTTGTATAGTCTGAGATTCCCCTCCTCCCCTTTTCCACTCCCTGATTGATTTTTCCCATAATGTCGCAGCTCTTCATAAGGAGTTACAGTTCCATCAGTCAGCTAGTTAAGTGTGCCTCGACATATGAACCAGCTCTTGAAGGTAGAAGGGATTAGCCTTTGAGTCTCAGCACTGGGCTCTCTGTTTTTCTTCTTTTTTTTTTAATGAAAGACTCAGAATTAACTTGATCAGGACTGTGCCTTAATCATGAGGCAAAAGTTGCATAAAAAAGGGTGCACCTCGCAAAGGGTGCATTTGGACAGAGAACATCAGCATCACTTGGAAGCCTGCAAGCCTGTTGGAATTGCAGGACTGCAAACTTTATTTACCTTTGACTTACAGAATCAGAGTCTATTTTTTTTAACAAGTTCCTCAGTTGGTTCTTGTGCACATTGAAGATTGGTCAGCTCCCAGTTAGAGCACTAGTTGGAATAGCTTCTCGGCCTTTTGGCTAACATCAAGTATAGAACACTAGTTGGAGACATTGGAAGACTGATGCCCACATGGGATGTTAGCATTTTTTAAAAAAATTTATTTATTTTTATTGGAAGGTTAGATTTATAGAGAGAGACAGAAAGATCTTCCATCTGCTGGTTTAGTTTTCAAATGGCTGCAATAGCTGGAGCTGAGCTGATCCAAAGCCAGGAGCAAGGAGCCTTTTTCTGGGTCTCCTGTACAGGTTCAGGGTCTCAAGGCTTTGGGCCATGCTCAGCTGTTTTCCCAGGCCACAGCAGGGAGCTGGAGGGGAAGTGGGGCAGCTGGGCCACCCACATGGGATCCTGGCACATACAAGACAAGGACTTTAGCCACTGGGCTTACTGTACTGCGCTGGCAGGGTGGGGGTGGGGGCGCATATCTTAACCCAGTGCATTAGAATGCTGGCAAGAATAGTTTGTTTTTACAAATCTTGCTTGTGTAGTAAATATTTATCATTGCTAAACTTTGTTAAATTGATTTTGAGATACTGAATGTCCATCTGAATGGTGACTGCCTAAAGCCTCAAATATGGGGCTGAATGTTAAGAAGCAGGTTAGATTTGATAACATATTCAGAATATCTATACTGAGAGGATAATTCAAGACAAGGAAAGGTGAACGCACAAAGAGGAGGTATGTATTTCAAGAAGTGGGAGAGCCCTACTTGGAGCTTTTACAATCAGCTGGATAAAGCTCATTTCTTAGCTTTTGGTATCATACCTATTTGAAATATAATGTTAATAAATTGATGGCAGACGTAATTGCTCCCATTTTCCTTTTCTTTCTAATGCTACAGAGCCAGGCTTTAGCGAAGATGGATATTTTGGTGACTGAGACAGAACAACTGGCAGAGAATATCCTCAAATGGCGAGAACAACAAAGGGAAATTTCTTTGAGTATTCCCAGAATATTAGCTGAAGAAAATCATCTTTAGAAACATGACCTCATGATGCCTTCTTCACTTTTAATTTCTAATGTCCATGGCCAAACTACTAATGCCAAGTGATCTTCAGCTTTACTTTTGCCTAGTTCCATGAAGTCACATGAAGCTGAATTTATAGGCTTTGCTGCTGACAAGATGGGAGGAGTCCTTTTTATCTTGAAGTACCAAGATTTCAGGTTCATGAGAACCAAATCAACTTTTCCTTTGTTTTTCATAATTTCCATCCTGTGCTTCTGTAAAGCTACTGCAAAATCAAATGTTGCCTGATGATTTAATGACCACAAGTGAATTAACCATCTCTCAGAGGCTAGGTTTTCTGTTACATCTTTTTAGAAAAATGAATGTATCTGAGTTGGAAGTTTTCTTTGAGTCTGAAAATGTTTACGATGATTATTCCTTACAGGGTGGTCGCCTAATGTGCAGAATAAACAGCAGTAGGCATAGTCCCTTTGTTGGGGGAATGAAGCATGTCCGCTGTGATTCCCCTGTTGGAGGACCTTCGTTTTTCCCAACTTCATCCCAAGTACCTTTTCTGTTTGCTGTTTTGTTTCTTGTGTGAATCCTAGTAGCAAGCCATTCAGTGGCAGCCTTAGGAATGTGCAAAAAAAGGTTTGAAACAAATGAAGGAAAAGGCACATTGTGGTAAAGGTTTAAAGGTTTGCATTGAGCAATGCTGACTATTTTCAGATGTTTGTGCACACCATGTAGTAGCATATCAACTTAGACTGCAGCCTGTGAAGCCGGCATCCATATGGGCCTGGATCTGCTTCCTATCCAGCTCACTCTCACTGCTGATGTACCTGGTAGGACAGTAGAAGATGGCCCATGTGCTTGGGCTCCTGCTACTAGTGTGGAAGACCTGGTCCATCCATGGCTGTTGCAGCTTTGTGGAGAGTGATTGGGTATATGGAATATCTGTTTTCCCCTCCCCTCTTTGTAACTAAATGTACCTTTCAAATAAATAATAATAATAATAAATCGTGTGTTAATACAAATGCTTCAGAGATATACTTTGTAGCAGTACTACAACCATCTGTGGCGTTTATTTGTTCACTTGACGTTCTGTTTGCCTTTAAAATGTTTTGTGTATCAGGTGCAGTCATTTGGCTCAGCAGTTAAGATAAGCTGCATCTCAGAGTGCTGGGTGTAAAGGCTTTCAGCTGTTTACATTTTAGCTCCTAAAATTTAACCACGGCCTTGGCCGCTGTAGTAAACACATTGGGTAAAAATAGCGAATTGTGTAAACTTTCGACATTAATCAAAACTTAACGGATATACTTGACAATCACGGACACAGAATGAAAACAAAAGTCATACTACGGGTTCAGTTTTCTCTTGCCTGCTGGGTTTAGGCGATTGGGCGGGAATTGCGTGGGATGGACCGGGATGAGGCGGGGCTATCCTTCGCCTTTTAGCCAAGCAAGGTCCAGGCTTGGCCAAGGCTAAGCAGGGACCTCCCCGGGGTGGGGCCGAGCAGTAGTACCCCTTGGGTCCAGAGCGTCCCCTGGAAGCGCTTGGGGTGGGAGCGGGGCGGAAGAAATATCCTCCTGCCTATCTGGCTGAGATTGGCCAAGGGTCGGAAGGCACCGCCCCACTGGCCCCTGGGCGGGGGCATCTCGGAGGCGTGGCGAGAGGAGGACCCGGGCTGGGCGGGCGCCGCCCCGTTCCGGCTGTGGGAGCGCGCGGGCGGAGGCGCGTGCGGCAGGCGGGGCCGGCGAGAACTGGGATTGGGGCTCGGGCCCGGGATGCCGCCTCTGGGTTCACCTGCCGGACTTGGGTTGTGGCCCAGAGATGGCGAACGTGCAGGTGGCGGTGAGGGTCCGGCCTCTCAGCAAGAGGTGAGTCTGGGCCGGAGGCGGCGCCGTGAGCTGAGGGAGGCGTCGAGTGGGCTGAGAGGAGCGCGAGCCGGCGGTTCCTCGAGAGACACGGGCGCCGGGACGTCAGACTCGAAGTGACCCGCGGGATTCAGGGTCGGGATCCCACCCCCGCCCCAGGCCTGGCGGGACCGGGCCTCTGGTCGAGCCCTGGCGTCGTGCGCTGCGGAATAGCGGTTCCCTGAGGTGTCAGGGAAGGACTGGCGGCTGCGCGTCTCTGGCGTCCTGCCGGCGGGAGTCTGGAGGCACGGGCTGAGGCTCTTCCCGCCAGGCCCTGGAGAAGAGCTAGGAGGGCAGAGGGCAGTGACCTCGCTGTGGAGAACCGAGACAGTACAGCGTGGGCTCCTGGGTGCATCAAGATGTGGTAAAAGGCAGATGTGAGGGGAAACCGAGACTAACAGGTGTGACTTCGTCCTCTACTCCACATCTGACCTGATGAAGGGTGGAACTAAATTAGGGATCTTCCTTCATCATCCTTAGTGCCCACTTTCTCATGCTGCACCTCTCAACCCTGGAAGGTTCCACTGGCCATGTTTAGAAATGAAGGAAGATTTTGTTGAAGGATTTGCATTAAAACATTGTTAAGTAATTAGAGTTTGCTGACAGGTGGAGAGAACGCATGGAGCGTGTTCTATTACCAACAAGAGTCAATGATTCTTCTAAATATGTCCCCACGTGTGTATGTGATCCTCTCACCTTTTAAATAAACTTAAAAAAAAACTTTTTAAAAACAGTGAAGGGGCCGGGCTTGGTAGTCTGACGGTGGCATCCCATATGGAGACCAGTTTGTGTCGCGGTGGCCCCGCTTCCCACCCAGCTCCCTTGCTTGTGGCCTGGGAAAGCAGTCGAGGACGGCCCAGAGCCTTGGGACCCTGCACCAACATGGGAGATTCGAAAGAAGCTCCTGGCTTAGGATCAGCTCAGGTCTGGCTGTGGAGCTACTTGGGGCGTGGGGTAGCAGATGAAGACCTTTTACTCTCTGTCCTGCTCTGTATAAAATTGACTTTCCTTTAAAAAAAAAAAAGGTAAATTTAAAAATAAGAGTGAAGGGCTTGGGCTGTTAGAGAACACAGGTGACTTTAATTGGTGGTGGGGAGGGAGATTGGTGGATAGAGTGATCAGAGACACAAGTGCCAGAAAATGGTTTGGAACCAGAAAATAATACTGAAATTATTTGAAAAGTTAAATTTCCAGAATTTGACAGTTGTTTTCCATAATAAAATTTGGCACTGATAGGATTGTGTTTATCCATATATATTGGTGTCTGGCTTTAAAGAGACTTGTAACAAACAAAACAATGACAAAAGTGATAGGAAGAAAAAAAAGGCCAAAAGGGAATAATAAAAAGACAAGGTACAATGAAAGAGGAAAGAAAGCAGTCAGTGATTGAACTGTATTTTGGTTGTAAATGGCCGGTGCCTTCTGGCTTCTGCATTAACTGGATGGGGTGGCTCAAGGCTTGAGGGTTTTCATTTCTCCACATCTTTGCTAGATGGAAACCTGTTGCATGGGGGGGGGTTGTTTTCTTTCTCTCCTTCTCCCTCCCTCCTCTTCCTTCCCTCCTATTCTTTCTCTTTCTCTTTTTCTGCTTTATTTGATGATGCTTACAACTTTTTTTTGGAGATAGTCTACAGAACATAGAGGGGAAATCTTTTGTCTCATAAAGCTGATCTGATTTTTTTTTTTTAAATCAATGTTTCTTATGAGTTTGGATCTTGTTTCTAGGGAGACCAAAGAAGGAGGAAGAATTATTGTGGAAGTAGATGGCAAAGTGGCAAAAATCAAGAACTTGAAGGTAAGCCTGAAATTGTTTTCCGGTTTCTTGTCCCTAAGGCACTAGTAGAGTTATAGGGGTTTTGAGGGCAAAAGTGTGTGTATATAAACGTGCTAAGGGTGAAGTGGCAGAGGGAAGAGCATGTAAGGGAAGTTGTGGAAAGAGTTTGGACTAATCATCAAGCAGATAAACCAAGAAACAGGAGCAGGGGATGTGGCTGTTGCAGCCTGAATTCTGTCAAATAGGGTGCTGCTGTTTTTGGCAACTGGAAGGTAGCTAAATTAAAAATAAGTGTAGGGGATATGAATAGGAGCCATGGTAGGCTTAAAACACCTGTGCAATTCATGTGTATTAGCCTCACCTGACCACTATTTAGACTCACGTGATATCACCTCATCTTTAGGCATTAGGAGGGGTTTTAGTATGCACCTGCTAATGCTGGTTCAGTTAATACTCTTCTGATCCTGGAAGAGAGCCAGTCATTAGCCTCAGACTTGTTACAAATTCTTTCACAGATCCCAGTTTGAGTCACAATTTGACACACAAGGAATTCCCTCACCAGTCTAAGGGCTAATTTCCTCCATCCATCAGGCCAACAGAAGATGAAAGATTCTTCGTTTCTGGACCTCAAGGAGTGCTTAGAGAAAGGGGAGGTTGGCCAGGTGACTACTGCTAGAGTCAGCTTGCATGTGGTACTCAAGATTGCAGACTGAGGTTGACTGGCAAGAGGGAAGATTGTTTGGACCCAGGTGTCATGGCTGTGCCCATTTCCATGTTATTTTTGTGATGTAATGTGTTTCCTTTTGTTGGTAGCTCTCTTAATAAAATGAATGCAAGTTGCCAAACTTTGAATATAGACTCTCAGGACTTAAGGACTTTTAATTCTCAGACATCTCTTACTTATGTTGCCTAATCATCTTAGCTACTTTGTTCTTCTTTTTATAAAAGATTTATTTAGGGCCCAGCGGCGTGGCCTAGTGGCTAAAGTCCTTGCCATGAACGCGCCTGGGATCCCATATAGGCGCCGGTTCTAATCCTGGCAGCTCCACTTCCCATCCAGCCCTCTGCTTGTGGCCTGGGAAAGCAGTCGAGGACAATCCAAAGCCTTGGAATCCTGCACCCGTGTGGGAGACCTGGAAGAAGCTCTTGGATCCTGGCTTCAGATCAGCGCATCACCGGCCACTGTACTCACTTGTAGAGTGAATCAACAGATAGAAGATCTTCCTGTCTCTCCTCCTCTCTGTATATCTGACTTTCCAATAAAAATAAAATAAATCTTTTTTTTAAAAAAGAAAAAGATTTATTTATTTTTATTAGATAGAGGAGGAGAGAAAGAGATGATCTTCTGTCAGTTGATTAATTCCCCAAGTGGCTGCAATCTTCTGGGTATCCCATAGGGGGAAGGTCCCAAGGCTTTGGGCTGTCCTCAACTGCTTTCCCGGGCCACAAGCAAGGAGCTGGATGGGAAGTGGAGCAGCCAGGATTAGAACTGGTGCTCTTATGGGATCTTGATGCATGCAGGGTGAGGACTTTAGCAGTTAGGCTACCGCTCTGGGCCCAGCTGCTTTGCTCTTAAAGCTCATATTTTGATTCTGAAGAATTAACCTTGATAAAAATCAAACTGTAATCTTCCTCTGCATACCTCCCTGCATGCTGACTTCCTTGAGGGCTCTTGTCTCTTAAGAATCTCTTGGTCATTCTGAAAGCCTCGCTCGTGGGTATTTTATGATAGCCAGCGCCTGAATTGTCTTTCCTAGTGCAGTAGTAAGGTGAGGCATTCCTGCGAATTATGACATTCTCCTTCATACTTGACGGTTGGTTCACTTCTAAGTTTTAACTCTACCCCCATCTACTTTAAACTATTGTATTGCTCCTGGCTCTTTTACCCAAAATGGTTTTGACTCAGTGAGGATGAATGTGCCAGAAGCCCAGTGAAAGCCTCAGGTTGGGGCCTGGCGGTGTGGCCTAACAGCTAAAGTCCTCGCTTTGAACGTGCTGGGATCCCATATGGACGCCAGGTCTAATCCCGGCAGCTCCACTTCCCATCAAGTTCCCTGCTTGTGGCCTGGGAAAGCAGTTGAGGATGACCCAAAGTCTTGGGACCCTGCACCCACGTGGGAGACCTGGAAAGAGCTGCTGGCTTTGGATTGGCTCAGCTCCAGCCGTTGTGGCTGCTTGGGAGTGACTCATCAGATGGAAGATCTTCCTCTCTGTCTCTCCTCTCTGTATATCTGACTTTGTAATGAAAATAAAAATAAATCTTAAAAAAAAAAAGAAAGCCTCAGGTTGATGGAGCCTGTCAGGCCCAGGGCTAAACTTCCTGTGTATTACTCGTAGACTCTGAATAAATACTCATAGAAAAAAATAATAGTAGTGGAAAGAAGATGCCCTGATAGGGAAAGGCTTTTTCTCCTGGGCTGTCCTACATTTTATGCAGTTGATCTGCAGATCTGATAATATGATAGACACAGGTAATCCTTTAGTGCTTTACTTGTACCTGATGAGATAGAAACAAAGGCTGCCTTTCATCCAAATAGTATCATGACCGGTCTACTTCTCTCTTGCCATGGTGAAGAATAATCAGATTCTGACACATTATGGATGAAAGACACTGAATCCTGTTTTGTTTCAGGTGGACAGTCGAGCAGATCGCTTTGGGGACTCTCGGGAGAAGGTTTTGGCATTTGACTTTGATTACTGCTACTGGTCAGTCAATCCAGAGGACCCTCAGTATGCCTCGCAGGATGTGGTAATGTCATGTATTTTTTTTATCTTCACTGTCCTGATTACTTTATTGTTATGTAACAGTTTATTATGAAGATACTTAAAGCATAATATGAGACACTTGTGCAGATTGGAAGTATTGTAATTGACACTTTAAATCTTCAGAACATTTAAATATCACTGACAGATTTTTGAAACATAGGGGCTTCACATCAAGAGACCACTGGCCTTCTCAATTAGTTATTTCCATAGTAGTGTTAACCAAAGAAAATTTCAAATATGATAATTTTTTTCATGTATTGCCTTAGTTCTTCAAATTGAATAGTTATGGGGAAATTAGCATAGGATCCAGGTCCTGGCTGTTTCTTACTTTGCATATTTTGATCAGAAATATGTTTTTGGTCTGAGATATGGTAGTGGGAATCATCAGTTCCAGAAAGTGCAAAAGAGATGGAATTTTCTGGTGTCCAATTAGAGTTGGCCCTTAGCATGATTGATGCGATTATAAATTCAGGTTGTGTTCTGTTCCTGTGCTGGGTGAATGGGTTCACCTTAAACTTGGCCTTGTGTAATATGCAGCAAGAGTCCCAGGAATGCGAGGGGCTGCTGTTTTCTGGGAGCCTTAGGCTTGTCCTTGTGTTCCTAGGTAGAGAGAGACAGGTGTTCTGTTGGCCTCCAAGCTATGTGGAAAGTGGGTTCTGCTGGAGACCTGTCTGTAGGTTGAGAGGGTGGATCCGGGTCTTCCCAGCTGAAGCTGTTGGTCTGTGTCTGACAGTTTGTTAGCAGTGTAAGGTCAGTGGGTCTACAGAACTGCTCTGTTTCTGCGAAGCAAAAATTTTGTCCTAGTTTGGGTGTTGTAAAGTGTCATGCATTTATTTCCCATGATTGCCAATAAGCCTTGCCTCATCTTTTGGTTGACCACAGAAGATAGCCATCTTCTCAGCAGCCATTAGTTTTTTTTTTTTAAGATTTAGTTATTGGAAAGTCAGATATACAGAGAGGAGGAGAGACAGGAAGATCATCTGTCCGATAATTCACTCCCCAAGTGAGCACAACGGCCAATGCTATGCCGATCCAAAGCCAGGATCCAGGAACAACTTCTGGTTCTCCCACACGGGTGCAGGGTCCCAAGACTTTGGGCTGTCCTTGACTGCTTTCCCAGGCCACAAGCAGGGAGCTGGATGGGAAGTGGAGCTGCCGGGATCAGAACCGGCACCCATATGGGATCCTGGCACGTTGAAGTCTTAGCCGCTAGGCCACGCCGCTGGGCCCCTCAGCAGCCATTAGAATATGCTGTGTACGTCTACCCTTAAAGTTAATTTTTAAAAAATATTATTTATTTTCCGACCTAGTGCCATGACCTAGTGGCTAAATTCTTGCCTTGCATGTGCTGAAATCCTATATTGGTGCCAGTCCATGTTCCGACTACTCTGCTTCTCGTTCAGCTCCCCTCTTGTGGCCTGGGAAAGCAGTGAAGAATGGCCCAAAGCCTTGGGATCCTGCACCTGCGTGGGAGACCAGGAGGAGGCTCCTGGCTCCCAGGTTTGGATCAACTCAGCTCTGGCCGTTGCACTCACTTGTGGAGTAAACCAGCAGATGGAAGGTCTTTATTTCCTTGTCTCTGTATATCTGACTTTCCGATAAATCTTTAAAAAAAAGAGAGAGATTTATTTATTTATTTTCATTAGAAAGACTAATTTTGGGTCTGGTGCAATGACTCAGTGGCTAAATCCTCGCCTTGGAAACACTGGGATCCCATATGGGTACTGATTTGTGTAAAAGTTGTTCTTTTCACCCATCTCCCTGCTTGTGGCCTGGGAAAGCTATAGAGGATGGTTCAAGGCCTTTGACCCTGCACTCACATTTGAGATCTGGAATAAGCTCCTGTCTTCTGGCTTTGTATTGACTGATATGGCCATTAGGGAGTGAACCAGTAGATGGAGGATTTTTACTCTCTCTACTCTGTAGAGCTGGTCTGCTTTTCCAGTAAAAATAAATAAATCTTTTTTAAGATTTATTTTTATTGGAAAGTCAAATAAGCAGAGAAGAGGAGAGACAGAGAGGAAGACTTTCTGTCCATTGATTCACTCCCCAAGCGACCACAATGGCCGGAGTTTTGCCTATCTAGGAATGGGATGGGAAGCAGAGCTGCTGGGATTAGAAGCAGTGTGCATATGGGATGCTGGTGCTTGCAAGGTGAGGACTTCGGCTGCTTGGCTATTGTGCCAGGGCTAAAAATAATCTTTCCAAAATAAAATGCAAAAGGCAGATTTTACAGATAGAGAAGGTGAGAGAATCTTCCATCTGCTAGTTCACTGAACAAATGGACAGTATTGGACAAAGCTAAAGCCAGGAGCTAGAAACTCGATCTGGGTTTCTCACATGGGTAGCAGAGTCCAAAATGCATTACCAGGGAGCTAGATAGGAAGTGGAGTAGTCAGGACTCCAAAAAACAGGCACGCTGATCTGGAATGCCGGTATCCTAAGTGAGAACTCAGGTGCTGTGTGAACATCTGCACTCTATGAACGAGCCTAGGTTATGAGTTTGGTCTGAAGCTTATGTTTTATATTAATGTGGCTTAATTTTTATAAAGAGTTATATAAATCCAAAAGGTCACAGAGAAGAATAATTTCTGGTGATTTCCTGATTGGAACTTTACTAGAAAGATCAAATAGAATCCAAACAGGAAGCCTGTGCAGAGAGATAAAACCAGCGTCTCCTGTGGTTTATTGTGGCTTGTTTTGTGAATCCCTTATTGGTCTCAAGAAGAGTCAGACATGAGAGGGAAGGAAGGGAACCCCTGTCATAGGTCATCTGGTCATATAATATCTGGCTTAAATTCTTTAGAACTCTAAAGGGAGATGGTTTATTTTAAAATTATATGTATTTAATGTATTTGAAAGCATAATGGAGGGGATGAGAGAGATCATGGCTGGAGTATCTGCTCCTGGCCAGTGCTGAGGCTGGGAACCCAGGACTCCATGTGGTTGGCAGGGACCTGAGTATATGAGGCATCACCTACTGCCTCCCAGGGCGAGTATCAGCAGGAAGCTGGATCAGAAGCACAGTGGAGAGTTGAAGCCAGACACTCTGAAAAAATTGAAGAGTTTATTATTATTCTGCTGAGAAAATGTAGGTTTAAACACACATATGATCTGCGAAAGTCATGAAAGAAGAAATGAGTCATGGAGTAAGCCTTTGACACAGTGGTTAAAATGCCTTTTGGAATAGCTGCATTCCATATCCAGTGTCTCCAGTTCCAAGAAATCTCCTCCACTTGAGTCCAGCTTCTTGCTTATGCAAAAACTGGGAAGCAGCTGGTTTGGTTTTGATAGTTCAGTTTTAGCCACCTATATGGGAGACTCAGAATTTCAGTCTTCTGGCTTTGGCTTGTCCAAGCCTCACCTGTTGTAGGTGTTTGAGGAGTAAATCAATGGATAAAAGATCTCTGTCTTTCAAATAAAACAAATTTTGAAAAATTAAAAATAAAAGAATTTTAAGTTCAAACACAGAATCATCAAGATGCAAAGATTAATATTCTTTATTATGCTGTAAAAAGATAGGAAAAAATGGAATGTGGGAAAAGGAACAGATAAAATGTTTGGAGACCAGCACAGTGGTGTATCAGGCTAAGCCTCTGCCTGCAGAGCTGACGTTTTAAATGGTGTGCTTTTTCTGTTTCCTTCTCTCTGTAAATCTGCCTTTCCGGTGATTTATTTATCTTTATTGGAAGACAGATTTATAGAGAGGAGAGATTGAAAAATGATCCATCTGCTGTTCACTCTCCAAATGGATGCAACAACTGGAGGTGAGCTGATCTGAAACCAGAAGTCAGTGACCTCTTCCAGGTCTCCCATGGGGGTGCAGGGTCCCAAGGCTTTGGGCCGTCCTTGAGTGCTTTCCCAGGCTACAAGCAGGGAACTGGATGGGAAGTGGAGCAGCCAGGACATGAACTGGCACCTATGGAATCCGGAACTTGAGGGGAAGGATTAGCCAGTTGAACCATTGCACCTAGTTCTAAAAATAAGTGTTTAAAAGACAGAAAAGGTTTTGGGCCCTATGCAGTAGCATAGTGCTAAAGTCCTCGCTTACATGCCCCAGGTCCCATATAGGCGCTGGTTCTAATCCCAGTTGCTCCACTTCCCATCCACCTCCCTGCTTGTGGCCTGGGAAGGCAGTCGAGCACGGCCCAAAGCCTTGGGACCCTTGCACCAGCATGGGAGACCCAGAAGAAGCTACTGGCTTTGGATTAGCTCAGCTCCGACTATTGCAGCCACCATGGGAATGAACCAGTGGATGGAGAATCTTCCTCTCTGTATTTCCTTCTCTCTGTATATCTGCCTTTCCAATAAAAATAAATCTTTAAAAAGAAAGAAAAAATTTGGAAAACAGAGAATTCACTGTAGAGTGTACGGAGTAGTATGGGAGTCATACCATTGCACCAACTTCACATTCTTTTGAGAGCAGACCGTTAATGTGTTTTCAGTCTTTGCTAATATTTGGACTTGCAGCCAAAGGTTTTCTTCACAATTAGCCTTTGTTTCCCTCATGTTAATTCTGTATACAAGTCATTTTACTTCTTTGAAGTTAGACTTAGATTTGAATTCAGGCACGTCTGTTCATTCATAAGCTGTTTTTTGGACAAGTTACTTAACCTTTCAATATCCTAATTCCGCAACTCTAAAACAAATATAGCATACTCCTTAAAGAGTTACTGTGAAAAGGAACAGAATTATGTAAAGTGTCTTACACAGGACTTAGCACCTAGGATTTCAATAAGCAATTCAAGAGTGCTGTGACTTCCTATTCTGATTAAAGTTATAATAAATGAGAATTGGAGTTCATGTAGTTTGCTAAGATTTGAATATCTCTTCTGTGTGGCCGTGCTGTTGCACATCATGTTAGGCCATCACAGGCAATGTCAACATCCCATGCGGATGCCAGCTGAAGTCCTGGCTCCAGTAATCTTTTTAAAGATTTATTTATTTGTTATTGGAATGTCAAATATACAGGGCCCAGCGTGG